GAACACGAACACTTGCGAAACGGCCAACTGTCAACAACAGCGGCAGGTCCTCCACTGCAGGGTGCTCAGCATAGTTGATTAATTATCGCGCTAAACCTCAAAAGTTATTAACGAAGGTGTATTCATTCGGCCCATTTTCAACACAAAATATCATTATTAAATAATTTAGATCAAACGCTTTGAATATGAGTCAATTAGTGTTTCAATTCGGTAAGAGAGGAGTATCTATATAAGTTTTATTTCTTTTATTTCCTCATATGAATTACAATTATATTTTAAATTTTAAAAGAGGAACAGTTGGCCTCTTACGAGCAGATCTTTTCTGGTTAAATATTTTATGTGTGTTCACCTAACGTCTTAGCCCGTCCAGGATATTAGAGAAGTCATTAGTCAGGCTTACCACACTGTTTAAATAAGCGAAGGCCGCTTACCACAATAATTAGCGAACTGGTTACCTCGTATCATTTCCTCTTCATTCTGTGCAAATTGTGAAGATTTATTTTTTAAATAAGCTTTAAGCAGAATAACAGTTCTAATTTTGGCCGCCATCTTTAAAAGATTGTTCAGAAAGACGCCTTCGCGTTTCTTCCCCAATACGCCAGACAGGATTAGAAATTGATGCGATTCACAGAAACATTCAATAAATTGCTGAGTTTTAAAGGAGCCTGGCGTCCACAATTCCGCACGTCCGTGAAGGACACGAAGGAATGAGACGATAAGCCCTCGAGGCGAAAATTTCTTGTCCGCCTGCCTCTTCAAATGTTGCGCAACGTCCATTTGCTATTCAAGTTGAAGGCCGTTTAAACAGCAAACACAGTAAAAGGATCACGTAATAAATTTTTTGGCCGAGGAAAAAAAACAGTCCTAAACTTTAAAATGTATAGTTTCGATTAAAAACGTTCCTCATAAGGATAAATCGTAAATCATTACGCAACCAGGTCTACTTTTTAAGATTCTTTTCGGATAATCGTTCAGCTTAAAAAAAGCACTAAATTTTAATCTTAACAACTACTTTAAAAGATTCTGGTTGCAATTACGCCTAGATATCTATATTTTTGCGTTTCTGCATAAAGTATTTTTCTCGCATTTGAATATGCTGTAATCAACAACTGTAACCAATATAAAGTAATAAATACATATAAAATATTTTGATTGTGAGATTTGTTTGTAAAGTCTGTACATGATCGAAACGCTTCGACCAGCATAATTTTATGTTAGTCATAAAATTTTTAGAGAAAAAAGATTATTCAGAAAAATTGAATAAATATCTTAAAGAGTAATATTCTTGTTAAAAACTTAGTTCTACAGGCATTATCATATAGAAATCTCTCATTATATGAGCTTACTGGTAATTCTGATATAAATAAAAAAGAACTTTAACGTGATTTTATATAAAAAAGGTTTTCGTTATTGTATTTATATGTCTTTACACAATATACTGTTTATTCTATGAATCATATTACGTTAAACTTCTGGCAGACGTACAGCTGTCAGTATATCATAAATACCAGTATTTCCAAACAAAGCTTATTATCAATTAACTTAATTAATTAATTAAGAAACAGCTTTATAACCCGGCGTTCCCCAGGGGGATAATAAAAAGTGTTACTTAGCGCATTATTTTGAATATACATCTGCTATGGTCATATATGTAAATTAAATGAATATCAATAATTGTATTTAGTCATCATATTAGATATTATTTTTGTTTTGGATTACATTGTATTAAATTGTAATTGCTGTTGTATTCAGCGTTAAATTTATTGCTGTGCTCGTGAATATACACTGTTTTTGGTGATTCCATTTGATATATATACAAACAACAAATCCCTCATCCTGGAGCATGCAACGTATAATTTTGTCCATCAGAAAACCGTGGATTCTACTAATTCAATCCACATAATCATTGATCTTGTGATTTGTTTATCATTACTGCAAAAAGCCAGTTTAATCGGGAATTGCAATTGTTTAAATTGGTAAGGCACTTATGTTGGTATCATTGGTATATGGTGGTTGTATTAGCACATACTCTCCTTTGAATTTTAGTAAGAATATTAACATTATTCTACGAAAAATATGTTGTTTTGGACACGTTTAATTTGAAACAACAGCAAAATGCAATTCAGATGCAACAACAAACAACAGAGAGACAAAAATTACTTACAAAACTTCACTTCATAATACAGCAAAATATTCTGTATTTATTGAAAAGTAAGAAACTACCAAAATATTAAAAACAACTAACAAAACTTCGCAATTTTTTACTTTATAAAAGTCAGAATGTTAAAAAATCCAATTGCCAAAACAACATCGCATTTCATTTAAACTGGCTGAGCTCTGTAAAACCATGTTTAGTATTATTTTACATAATTTGTAATTTTTCATGTAACATTCTCTCATTTGAATTAAAATTGTTGTTTCGATGACATTGTTTTGTCTGCCAATCTGGTACGAGATTACCAATAATGATGAATAACGAATGGTAGACGATTTCAATGTTTCTAAGAAGAATGATAGAAACACCAAAAAATTGCCTTGAAAACCTGTTGAATTTTGTCTTTGGAATGCCTCAGCAAAGTACAGAGAACTAAACAAACAAACTGATTAGGAAGTGTAAATTACAAAGCGAGAATTTAGTTAATGAAACTTTCTGACCCTTGGGTGTAAACTGATGAATAGTCGATTGTTCTGCCATAACAATCCGATTGTGGTTGTATAGATATTTTTTTTGTCCTGCTTATCTCTAGATCAGTTCAAGTCTTCGATTAACGTTGAAGTTATTCCCTCTTGATGTGTATTTTAGTTCGACTGAAATCGACACCCTAGTTTTTAATTTTTTTTCCTTCTTTTTCGATTACTTTGGCAAATTGGTAAAAATAACGAGTTTGGCTGGAAATTGGATATGCGTATTTCACATTTATGGTTTTTTTGTTGGGTGACCCTGTTTTTAATTCACTTTGAATGAGTGCTAATAAAACTGATTTGGAGTGCTAATTTGGTAAACAAAATCATTTCAGTCATCGCCATAAAGAGCAACTGGACACACCCATTTATTTATTGGGCAACTTTAAATTATAAAAAACTTGCCCCCTTTTAATATAGTTTAAACTATCGAATTTGTCTCCCAGAATGTTTTCATTGTTGGAATTTTTTCTTTGGAGAAACACAACCAAAAAGCCCAGTAAAATGTTTAAAGCTAGGAAAATTATAAATTTCATTTTTAATTTCTCTTGTAAAAGGCAAAAATAGCAATGATTAATACTGGCAATAAATCAAAACTTTTAAAACCTACAAACTGATCGGTGGCTAATCGGTTTGAATTTAGCTAACTTACAAAAATGAAATAAAAACAAGATAAACTTTATAATCAAGTTATTAATATGTGTAGTATTAATATCTGGGAAGAGGCTAAGCAAAGAAAATTTCAAAAATTCTTCATCAGGACTACAATGTATAACTTAACTTGCCAGGAATGCTAGTTGTTTCGTCTCTGAGGTCCACACGGAGACTAAATAAAAAAATTCTTGTGATGCTATTTATTTGAACTTAAGAAATATATTGTAGTCCTGAAGAAGGCATAAATAGGCGAAAGCTTGACTTCAATTTTTTCGTTTTTCTTGGTCGGTCTCCTCCCTACTTGTGCAATATATGTGCAAGAAGGCCAATCAAAAGAACTTCAAGTTATTACTTTTCACGACTAAATTGTGCCGTGGTACGTATAAGATTTTAGCATCGTGTAAATGTACCTCGAAACGAGGTAAAAGTTGAGCATTTCCGGTTCGACGCGCTAAACAAAATACCTTGGGAAAGTTTGCACCAAGCGAGGAAATCACGGAGCGATTCGTGCTCGACCCAACTTCCGCAAATTTAGTTTTCTTGGCCAGTCGGCCAGAATTTAGATTGATATTTAGAATCAGTTTCGATGGCTGGAAATTCAGGTTTGCATGAAGAATTTCATTTGGCTTTGTCATTTTTTTTTTCCAAGTTCTTAAATCCAAACACATAATAAGGCATAAATATAACGAGGCAAAATAACATCAAATCGAAAAAATGAAGTTTTTTAGTTTGCTGATTAATTCATTCTCATCTCGTTTTCAACGATGCAGTGTATTAGGCATTTTAATATTAAGACTGATTCAGTACAAAAATAACTTAATTTGATCAATAAAGAATATTTGAGAGGGATAAAAATTAATCCAATAATTGCTAAATTTATTTCGCTTGTGATTCCATCATCCATTAAGGCGAACTAAACGGATTCAATTCTTGTCATTGGGGTTAAAATAGCTTCGTTCGACCACTCATTTAAAGTTGCCACCAAAAAGAATAAGTAATAAAAACGAATTAATTTGGTTTTTATTTTTAACTTCGATTCTTTCAGGACATTTTGGCATAAATTAAATAAAAATGTTACTACCTCATGTACCCTAAATATTTTTTTGAAAAGAGGGAATAAATTTGAAAAACCCTTTCTCGGTCGCGTCATAATAATAAAAGATAAAACTCTAACTTACAAATTAAAACAAAATTCTGATAAAATGGTGAATTCATAATAAGCCTTCACGAGCCACATTTTAGAAACAAAATGTATAAAATTTGATCTAGGCAGGATATAGTAGAAAGTATGGGTAAAAATTACTAAGTAGTAAAATCTATTTTACAAAATTCGATAGGATTGGCTTCATGAAGTTTACAATAACAAAAAGGGGGGAATTTGGCTTATACGCGCATTTCCTGAAAAGTACGTTTGATATCAACATAGTAACTTTTTTTTACTAACATATTTTCCAAATTCACATAGATAATATCATCATAAAACACTGAACAACAAGTTAACAAAATTTCATTAAATTTGGCCAAGGAGTTCCGAAGATAAAGGCACCGAAGGGCCAATATACTAGTAAATAAGGCAGTGATCCTTCACCTTCAGCTTGAATCTTTCGTTTTTCAAGAAATTACAGATTTACCGATACATATTTAATTGTTGTCTATTGTTGCAGATGCACGGTCGTACTGCTGGATTTGGTCCGGGGGAGGCAGACGCACATAATGAACAATTCGAAGAAGACCATCACCTGCGTCGGCTTCTCATCCGATGGGAAGTTCCTGGCCACCGGCGAATGCGGCCACTGCCCATCCCTCAGGCTCTGGGACCTACAGGAGAACACGATGGTCGCCGAGCTCTCCGGGCACAAATACTCCATCAACTGCCTCGTAAGTAAACTTCAATTATAATAATTGTTAGTGGCCTTGTTTATGAATCATCCCTGGAATGGTTGGTCTATATAATGCATCTCGCTTTTTTCCTAGATCGAATGTTCGCTTTAATATTTCTAGTAATTTACAGAAGTGGGTTATATCTTCTTCAGTGCTAGGGGGTGATGAACTTGTAGTTTGTAAGATTCGAAAGTAGCTAAACGAGCTAAAATTTCAACTGACGAGCAAAACTAGCGAAGCTGGGCAGAGAAAAAATTATCGAAAACATCCTATCTTACAGTTTCATCGATTATCACAGATGAGTGATGACATTGCTTCAGGCCCACCACCTGCTACCTTCCAACAATGTTCGCTAATTCAATGTTTTGGTCAGGGTTAAAAGTTTTGTGAGAGAAGACACCGACGAAAAGGCCGAAACACGCCTTGACAGGTAAAGCCGTGAAATTAAGCAGTCCGGTATTATCGCAAAGTGAGATCGTGCTTACAGCTCATCACCTTCTACCTTCCAGCAATGTTTTCTTGAACGGTGGATCAGGGTTATAAGCTGGGTAAGTCAAGGCACCGACGACGGGCAAGCCAGCTAAACTTGGAATGCTGGTATTATCGAAGAGTGAAACGATTATACATCATCTTCGGTGGTGGGTCCATAATAGGTGAGACAAGATACTGTCGAAAGCTTGACAGGCAAAGCTAGCTAAACTAGAATGGCTAAGATTATCGAAGAGTGAGATGATTATACCACAGGTTCATCACCTTCTTTCTTTTAACTCTGATCTTCATGTTCAGTGTGGGCCAGGGTTATAACTGAGTAAGAGAAAACCGAAGAAAATGCCGAATCAGGTCTAGACAGGCAAAGCCTTCAGGCCTGGGATTATCATAGCGTAGGTGGCCATGTTTCAACCACATCACATTGTACCTTCCAGCAATGACTTCATTAATATTAACACAAGGTTATCAACTGAGTAAGAGGACAACTAGGAAAAGGCCGAAACCGAAAATTAACGGAGACGAAGAACATCACACTACAGGTTCATCACATTCTACCTTTAACAGAGTTCGTTTTCAGTGGTTAGTCAGGGTTATAAGCTAGGTGAAACAAGACGTTGTCGAAAGGTGTCTGTCGAGCAAGACCAGTAAAGCAGCAAATCAGGATTTTCAGATCCTGCTTTTTCTTCGATCTATCCACTAAACTGCTGTTTGATATTGAACGATCATCCTGGTTTCGTGTTATTTCGTTGATATTAAGGTGAGCACATAGACGAACCACTGAACGTGCTATAATACAATACCTACACGCTTCTGGTACCGATTTGACAAATTATACGTTCAATTGTATTCTAAGTACATAAACTAAATCTATTGCCTTTTCTAAAACTAAATTTAAATTAATTATTCTTTCTATTGAAGGTCTTGGTTGTGATAAAAAAAAGTCAGTGCCTCGAGCGGGATTCGAACCCATGACCTTCGGCTAAATCCGGGACCTTCCATAGATAGAATAATTAATTGAACGAGTAACTTGGTCACTTGACCAGTACAACGTAAATGGACTAAATTTAAAGTTTAAATTTGATGACTAACTTTTCAACTCGGTTGCTATAAAGCCTTCATGTCCCAAGGCAAATTCATCTCGTAGGCTGACCTCATTAAAACCACGAACCTACGTCGAAAAATTTTTTTCGGGTGAAAACTGAGAGTAAGAGTTTGAACTGGAGTCGTGCCGAAGATCATTAATAACTAAAATTATTACATAGTTTTTTAAAAAATCTCATCGAGGTTGTCAGTAAGACTATCCGCCGGAAACTAAGCCAAGAAGTGTGACGCGTAACCGATACTCGTCCATCGGCTGTAAATTAACCGCATACGCTTAGAATCGGTGTTCTAATAGTGATAATAATTGTGCCGTTTATGCTGTGTTCAACATATATTTGGCAGGACGTACGTCAAAATCCACTTTCCACATCGTGACCGGACTGCGCGAAATTATGTTAATGGACCTTTTGTAAAACACTGGAACCTTGAAAGTGAAACTAGGCTTTTTGAAAGTATCTCTCTTGAGATCATGTAATTTGATGAAAACCGTCCAATCCACTTTTTTTACGTTCGAGTGCCCGAGTAATGGTTACGATCGAAAGGGATTTTGGAATCCCAACAACTCGGCCTTCAAAGAAGAAAAGAGCTTTGGCCAATTTTGTCTAGTAATTTGGAAGGTCGAAAGACCTCTGTCGTCCCACTTCGAAGACATTTACGAAAAAATCCCGGTGGGAAATAAATATTTTCGAGGTCGCAGGCCTTTGTTCGTTAGTCGGGAAGAATAATGCTACATTTAATCGACCCGGATTTCTCGAGGACAATTTGAGACAATCTCTCTTTCTCCGGCAATAAAGCATTGTATAGATTTCTATTTCAACCGGAAAGGGTGTCACTGTCGGCACCATTCTCTAAAGAAAACGATTGACTATTGACTTACCGCCTCAAATCTAGACTTACACTTAATAATAATCTCAAAGTAAGGAATACATAGTTTTATTGCATTAAAAAAAATCTTTTTCTGTAGTACAACATATTATTGGTATTGTCTATCCAACTGTGCATCATGAACTCAGCACCTGCCAATACAATAAAAAGTGTCTTGAATATTAAAATAAAATAATAATATTATAACAATACTTTGTCGAAATAATAAATAAATAATACAAAGTATAAGAAAAAACTTTGTTTCAGCAATAGAATAATATTCTGTCTGCTGGATATTGTACCATCAACACGTCTTGAAGATAAATGTTATGCTTTGTTGTTTTACTTCTTTACTAAAAATACATGAAAAATATTTGCAATTCTTTGTGGAACAAAAGGTTTTGCCACACTCTCCTCTCAATCTTAATAGAAATCATGCTGAGAAGTTTTAATTTAAAAAACTTCCACCATTTTCATTTGGATTTGTATTTTGTTACATTTGTATTTTAATTTTTATTGTATATCACGGTTTCGCCAGTTCTGCTCTTGCTCAATAAATTTTTATTACTTTATCACTGGCATTATGGTTTTTGCTTTCATTATTTATTATTGTCAAAACCAATTGGTGCTAATTTGAGTTGGCAAAGCTGTAAAATAGGTTGGAGCTTTAGATTTGATACTACAAATTTATATGCACATAGTAAGTAATAGTATAACACATGTACACTGACAGGCAAAAAATTCCACCCACTTGTAATATAACTTGATTTGGATATATTTTTATATATTAATTAAAGTTTCACGTTTTATATAAGACTAATAATTGAGTCTTTGTCTAAAAAAAGTTTTAAAAAAATGTAAATTGTTAAGGAAAATAAAAAATTAAAAAGATTTAAAACAAGACAGGCAGATAAAATTTGTTTAATTTTGTTTTAGATTTTTAATTAACAATTCAATATTGTGTATTTCCTCCTCTTGCCTTAATTACATCTCGAAGACTCCTCGGCATACTTTCTACCAGTCTGGAAATGTCTCTTTGCTGGAGGTTAGCCCATTCTTCACGAAGAGACCTTTTAAAATCGTGGATTGTATCAGGAAGTAATGGACGTGCTCTTATTTGTCTTTTAAGGTTTTCCCATAAATGTTCAGAGCTAAGACCCTGATGTTATGCTCTTGAAGGTACGTTTGTACTATGCGAGCGACACGAGGACAGACATTATCGTGCATTAGAATAGGATTGTCACTGATTTCATCACTGATAGGCAACGCGTGATGTTCCAAAATTTCTTCTATATAGTGAGTGGTCGTCAAAGACCCTCCACAACCAACTCAGTCGACTCTTCATTGAAATTCCTGCCCACACCATCACTGAGCTAGGTTGAAAAGGTTGGCTCTGGGAAAAATTACAGGCTTCGTACCTTTCATTTCGCCTTCCCCACACTCTTTCACTCCCATGTGGAGATCGTAGAGCAAATCTACACTCATCTGCAAAAAGTACAGCAGACCAATCGCCCAAAGACCAATGGCTGGGTTCTCGAGGAACTGTGCAACTCCGTGTGTTATGGTCAATTCTGGTCTTCTTATGGGGTGAAAAGCCATCAGTCCATACTGATTTAATCTTCTTCGAGCAGTGCGTTCAGAAATTTGGACACTGTGAACTTCCAGGACCTGATGAATCGCTTGAAAAACAGTAAGTGGCCGGTTTCGCAAAACTTTCAAAGTCAAAAAATGGTCATCCTGTGGTTCTGTTACCCTAGGGCATCCAGAACCAGGCCCTCTAATGTAGGACCCAGTTTCTCGAAAACGGCTAATGGTGTCTCACAGTGTTTTGTAGGGAACTCTAATGGCAATAGCCACATACCTGATGGAACGTCCATCATCACTAAGAGCCACACCACGCGCAACATCCTCAGCGCTAAGTGGAATTTTTAAGTTTAAAAATTGAAATTAAGAAAATGATGAAAATGAGACAGTTTATTGTTTCAGTATTCAAATGAGACTGAATAAACATTTTCAATTCCGTAAAAATTAGACATTGAAAAATCCTTTATCCTCATTTTGGATTAAGGATTAAGTGTGTTACGTCCAATTGATATTCCCCATTTAAAACAGCATAAACAAATATTTATTGATAAAAATAACGAGACAAATTAAGGGCAGAATTTTCTTTTATTGAGAAAATGAAAAAAATCAGTTGGGTGGAATTTTTTTGTCTTGTTATATTATGAAAATATATTTTGATCAAAAATAAGCCCTTTAATTGGGATGGAAATTTTTTTGATTTTCTTAAAAAATAGGAAAAAAATGTTTAAACGCAGATTTCACTATAGTGAATATTCGGAGAATTAAGTATCAATTAATTATTTGCAGTTTGCTTGTTTCCAGGCATTTTACTTGATGTTTTTTAGGCAATGTTGATCAACTAGTGGCCTGTTGGGGCAATAGCCCCTATCTCTAGTCTGAATCATAGAATGATACGATTTATGAATGTGGGAAATGGATTGTGAACAGCAAACTGTAACAAAGACACGTTACAATGTTTTTTTTTTTTCATGTTATGGGTTATTTTGGAGTCCCATCCTGACTTACCACAGGTATAGATCAGTAGGTTCAAAGTAGGATCACAATGATGTCTTAAATCAGAAATTAACTTTGGACTACTATGACAATAGTGCACAACGTGTCGATGACCTGGCGGTCTTCCTTCTGAAGATCGGAAAACTCCTTTCTTCTGCTGTAGGTTTGTTAAATCTCATCCATCAAAAACTTTTTTTTTTTTAATGCAAGTTCATGTTAAAACTTTCATCTTGCATTGCTTCAGCTAAAAATGCCACCAAGGGCTGTCCAAACTGTGCGGTCTAGTTTTTTATTTTCTGGGCATCCTAAATGCACATCTACAGCTTTGGCGGGGTCGATAATATATAATTGACATTATGACAGAACTTCACCTTCACTTGACAACAAATCCAATATGAATCAGTAATCTGTCCTTGTAAAACTTAAAACAATAAGGTCCAACTCCTAGAATTTCTTTCTGTGTGGCAGAAAAGGAGACAAATACCATTGCACTGTTGTACTTCCATATATCGTTCATAAAATTTGATTAATAAAGGAACAGTTCCTTTAACTCCAAAGTGATTTGTGGTTCTGGGAGGAGCAAGGGTTAAACTGACTACTGGTTATCTCAGCCTCAAAGGAGTAGTCATAGAACCTAAGCTGTGCTTGGGTTTGGAGTTTTCATTCAACATACATAGTTTGTTGGAAATTGTATCGGAGCGAGTAAGACTTTTTTAGCATGTTCATAACAGAAAACCTGCCCTCACTTATATGTAATATATATTTTTATATTGGATAGGCAGAACAAAATGATTAGACGTAACTAAACTGCAGATTCATCACTGTGCAGATCTCATGAAGAAATCTCACAATACTATGTTATTATTTGCTGCCACTTGTAGGTTGCATGTTAAAAAAAAAACTTATTTATTAGCATCTGTATTTATTGAATATTTGTTAAACCATTTGCTCTCTTCCTTAATATTCGCTTAGGATTTATTTTTAATAAACATATAATACATTTTTTTTAAATCAAACTTTTGGTGATTCTTAGAGCAAACAATAAGAACTATTTATCAACAACTGTATGTTATTATTTGAAATTGACATTATCAGTATGTTCACTAATTTTGTGGTCTGCTTGACCAATTAATATATTACAATTAATTAAGGTTTTTAGTTGAGATAAAAAAGTCAATGGCACGAGCGGGATTCGAACCCATTTGTCGTCGAGAATCCAATCCGATTACATGACATTTGAAAAATGGCAAAAAGGAGAGAAAATTCAAAAGAGATTGCTCAAGTGGTAGAGCAGCGGCGTATCAAGCCGAAGATCGTGGGTTCGAATCCCGCTCGTGCCATTGACTTTTTTATCTCAACTAAAAACCTTAATTAATTGTAATTATCATTATGATTAATATTTCTTAATTAATTTTAGCTTTGATTGGTTATTGTGTGTTTCTAGGCGTTTTCACCGACTCAAAAATATGTTGTGTCAGTTGGATCTCAACATGACATGATTGTGAATGTTTGGGATTGGCGAGCCGGATTGAAAGTCGCGTCAAACAAAGTGTCTACCAAAGTCAAGGCTATATCCTTTGCTGAAAACGGAACTTATTTTGTAACAGTGGGTAACCGCCATGTGAAATTCTGGTACTTGGAATACCACAGAGGGGCCAAGGTAATGAAATAAATATTTTAAAAAAGGAAAAAACTAACATTGAACTTGATTTAGTACAAAGAACCTGTGCCATTGATGGGGAGGTCAGCGATACTCGGAGAACAGAGGAACAACGATTTCGTAGATGTTGCATGCGGAAGGGGTGAGACGGCAGACTCGACCTACACCATTACGAGGTCGGGTCTTCTATGTGAGTTTAACAACAGGCGTCTTCTTGATAAATGGGTTGAACTCAGGGTAAGCCACAAATTTAATATGGACATTCTTGATTAATCAATTTCAACTCGTTTACAGACAGCCAGTGCTAACTGCATGACACTAGGTGAGGATAGAATATTCATTGGCTGCGCTGATGGAATAGTTAGGTGTTTCAACCCCCACACCCTTCAGTTTATAACTACCTTACCTCGTACTCATTACCTGGGTGTCGATGTTGCTCAAGGTCTAGATATAACGTAAGTATTTTTTTTATTAATTTTAATTTAATAATCTAGAAAATTGGTTATTTTTTTAACTAAACACATCATTTATTTGTTTATGCCATATACTTTAATTGCTAATGCATTTCAGACCACGTCCATGGAACCTCTTCAGAGCTCACTATTTAGCTAAATGAAACTCCAGACAAAGTAGTTCCATTTAGCTAAATAGTAAGCTCTGAAAAAGGACCAGGGATGTGGCCCAAAATGCATTAGCAATTAAAATATATGGCATAAAAATAAATGGTGTGTTTAGTTTAAAAAAAAATACTTTCTAGATTTAAAGTAATTATTTATATCTTAAAAATTATGATTTTCTTTTCTAATCTGATATTACCTTTAAAAACAGACATATGGCAACTCATCCTCAAAAAGCAAAATATCCCGATGCGATCGCAGTTAGCTACGATGAAAGAAATTCAAAACTTACATGTGTTTATAACGATCACAGCCTTTACATCTGGGATGTTCGAGATATAAAAAGGGTAAATATTTACCAGCTTGACGTTTTTAATTTGTTAGACAATAACACTTGTGTTTGCTTTTGATGTAAACTAGAATATTTACTACTTTTGTAAGATGTTATTAATTATTTAGTTGATTACAAACTAAACATTTATTCTTCTAAATACTATTTTTAAAGTTAACTTTAAATATTGTACAATTAATTAAGGTTTTTAGTTGAGATAAAAAAGTCAATGGCACAAGCGGGATTCGAACCCACGATCTTCGGCTAGATACGCCGCTGCTCAACCACTTGAGCTATCTTGACCTCGATCCACTCGGACACCAACTTCCCATCTCAACCCGGCCTTTTGAATTTTCTCTCCTTTTTTGCCATTTTTCAAATCTCATGTAATCGGATTGGATTCTCGACGACAAATGAAATGGCCACGGAGAGCTTTAGTGATTTAATCATTAAATTCACTACTTTTGAAAAATGGCAAAAAAGGAGGGAAAATTCAAAAGGTGGGGTTTGGATGGGAAGTTGGTGTCCGAGTGGATCGAGGTCACGATAGCTCAAGTGGTAGAGCAGCAGCGTATCTAGCCGAAGATTGTGGGTTCGAATCCCGCTCGTGCCATTGACTTTTTTATCTCAACTAAAAACCTTAATTAATTGTAATATATTAATTGGTCAAGCGGACCACGAAATTAGTGAATTTAAATACTGTTCAAAGCTTACTGTATGTATGGATTTCAAAAATACTATGTAGTGTACTACTATATCGTTTTTATTTTGATTTGCTTATTATTTATTTGATAACTTGTACCTTATTAACTAATTGTAAATTTTACAGGTTGGGAAATCTCATTCATACCTTTACCATTCGGCTTGCATATGGGGAGTTGAAATGTTCCCAGAAGGAAGCCTGCCGCATGTTCCTCCTGGTTCTTTTGTCACTTGTTCTAGCGATGATACAATTAGAATTTGGAATGTCGACTCTCAGCATAAAACGCAGGCGGGTAGTGCATATCAACGAAATATTTACAGCAAAGTTCGTACTTTTGTTTTAATAAGGTTTCTTTATTCAATTTTTAACACTGTTTTCATCGGAATTTCCAGGAATTGATTAAGGTTTTATACATTGATCCAGAATTAAACTGTTTAAAAGATATGGAATTGATAGGAGGGGAAAAGACTGATAATCCTGCTGCTTATGATGGCAAAAATGGTGTGCGATCCTTGAGAATTAGCCCAGATGGAAAACACCTCGCAAGTGGTGATCGGGCTGGGAATATACGGTATGGTCAATTTATTTTTATAAGTGTTTTTCTTAATAAATAAATTTTTTCAGAGTTCACGATGTCGCGACATTAGAGGAGCTGTGCCTTATCGAAGCTCATGATGCTGAAGTACTGACATTAGAATACAACCGCCAAGTGGACGGAAAGAAGCTTCTGGCTTCTGCTTCGAGAGATAGACTAGTCCATGTTTTCGATGTAAATGAAGATTACAATTTCTTGCAAACGTTGGATGATCATTCTTCTTCTATAACGGCCGTCAGATTCCTTAATACACAGCCCAACCTCCAAATGGTTTCATGCGGTGCTGATAAATCTATTATATTTCGCCAGTTGCAGCCTGTAAGTCATTTATTTTTGTATTAAATTTGCAGGTTTATTAATATTTTGGCTTGTAGGGACCAGACGGTCAAATGCAGTTCAACAGAGTTTATAATGCTGCTGGTAAGACGACCCTCTATGACATGGAAGTTGATGTTTCGCACAAACACGTGATTACAGCCTGCCAAGACAGAAACATTCGTGTCTACAATGTCTCCAGCGGGAAACACACCAAGACTTTCAAGGGATCTATTGGTGAAGAAGGATCTCTTATAAAGGTACCACAAAATTGCCTCCAAAGTAAAAATCTTTGACAGAAAAATGTGTTGAAAAACAAGTTGATTGTTCAAGGTTGCATTCGATCAGAGTGGAATTTATGTTGCGACTTCATGCACTGATAAGACATTATGCATCTATGACTATTACAGTGGCGAGTGTATGGCCACCATGTCAGGACATTCCGAGCTAGTCACGGGTTTAAGGTTCAGTCAGGATTGCTCACGACTCATCTCTGCCTCAGGTGACGGTTGCGTTTTGATCTGGACGGTGCCTCATGACATGGTGGTGACAATGCAGGCTCGGCTATCTCAACAAGCTGCTAGAAACAAGTAAATAATTTTTATGTATTTATACTTCCATTCAAGTCAAGAATTCAAGTATACCTAGACAGCAGATGACATGGAATTCACCCAAGGCTTAAAAGACAGCAACTTACTAGGAGACAGTCCATACTAAATTAAACTTATACAAGACTTTTCTATGACCACTGTGGACATACAGAATGGAAATGTGGGGTTATGCATAGCCATCTAACAAGATCCAGCACATCCAATCTTTCCAATCAAAATTCTTCGGATAAAATGACAAAGCCACTAACCTCACTATCCATAATGACCTAAACATTCATTTTGTCAACAAACTGATCTGTTCCCAATTCCAAGCTTCACACTGACCTCTTGATCCGTCCTAAACATACATACCAAAAACTCCTCGATAGCCTTGAGACCTCCTTGCCCCTTAATCCTTAAGCGATGGCTGGTGCTTCCAGGTGCAGTGCTGGCATTAATGTTAGAAATGTGTGGTGATTAGTATTAATCGATAATTATTCAGAAATCATGAGATGCGGTCTGATGTGATGTAGCTTTCAGAAAAACATTTTCTTTATCGTGCCAACGTTTCGATCTTTATTGAGATCATCTTCAGGGCTCAAAGTGTTTGTTTTCTGCGTATTTCTGCCATTCTTCTGTGTCGTGGCACTCTCAACACAACACACAAGAACGGCACAAGAAAATGTTTTCTTGTCACATTGAAACAACATCACACCAGACCGCATCTCACGATTTCTGAATAATTAATGTTAGAGCAGTAACCATGTGAAAAAATGTTTTGCGATTACACTTGTAATATATACAAATATTATAGGGTACAAACAAAATAATAAAAAAATAATAATTTTTGTTCAAAGGAAACCGGTGAAAATCAGTAATGGAATTCACCTAGATAATGATGATTTTGCACCGTCTCCTCTGGGAGTTTTTGATCCCAATGCAAACTCAACCGACTATAGGTATTATTTTGTAAAAGTTTTTTTTTTTTTTTTAATTAGCTATCTTTCTAAGTTTAATCTTGGTTTCGGACAGTATTGGCCAGTTGCCCGTCTGGGCCAAGAAGGAAATCGAAGGTGGTGAAATCGAGAGCAGGGGTATTAGAGTTTCTGGTCCTAAGGGTAAATGGGCCCACAGGATCGATCACACAGGAATCACAATCAAATCAATATATGACAGTGAAATGATCCCTTTCGCTACCGGAGGTATTAACCTTGGAAAAACAAAATCGCTTAAAAATAAATAACTCCATGTTTATTAACAGACAAAAAACTCGATTCAGATGGAAGTAAAGAAGACAGCTCTGTCGACAGTGGAGCCGAAACAGGCCGGTCTCTCCTCTCAAACCATAAAAGAGAAACGACAATCGTGTCAAAGGTATTTCATTACAGGTCTCTTTAATATGTTATAACTATTTATTTCTTCTCGCTTCTTATCTAGCAACTTCAGAATGCAACTATTCTATAATAAAGACTTGACACTTTGCATGCCTCTGGAGATTAATTACACATTTATTCTTTTTTTCCAGAATAATTTTCAAATATTTTTTTCCGTGTTTTTCATGGTATTCTACAGGATTTTTTCCAAATAAATACCATAAACTTGTGTGTTAGATCAAAATGTTTTATGTTCAAATAAATAATAAATTTTATAATTATTTATTGTTAAAATCAAAATTTAATTAACTTTATATTAAGTAGTAGAACGTAATTATGTCTTTGAAGTAACAGGATGAACAGTTCATACAAGCATTAAAATCTCATTGGGCATAGTAGCTGGTTGTGGTAGCTTTTCTCATTAATGTAGTTTGTTTTTAGAAGTAGAATTGTTTTCTGTTCAGTTTTGTTATATCAGAAAATCCCTCCTGGACTTTATTAATTCTCATTGGTGTTGGCTTTATTTGTTAGCTCTTTGTACATGTATAGCTGAGCTATTTATAAAGCTCTGTTGTACGTCAGGGTTTGTAGATTGTTATTTTAGAAGGAATAGTTTTTTGGGGGCATTTTTCCTTTGATAAATTAGCGATTGCTTCCTCTTCTGCATCTTTTTCTCTTCACGCACGGGCATTCTGCACAATTTGTGAATGTTGAGAAAAACTGAAACAAAGCTACAACAAATTAATTGCAGGTAAGCCGTGATACGAGTATCGATTTTCTCCATTGCCCAGAAAGCATACAGGAAATTTTGGACCACAATAGTAAACCGGTGAAGAATTTTTCATGAATTTGTATTCACTAGAATTACCCCACTCATGACTCATTGTTTTAAATGGGGAAATTTTTTTGTTCCAGCATGCGATTGGAGGTAAAATTACTCTTATGAGAGGGACTGAAGTAGGTGATAATCATTTTAATAAACATCACACAGATGATAGCTCTTTAGGAAGCTTTAAATATGAGGTTTGTTCTCACTTAGCATTGAACAAAACTGTTTTATATATTTTGTATATTTTTGTAGGACATAGAAAGTACAGAGCATGATGGTGATGTTGAGGATTACTCAGAAGGAGAATCGAGTGACAACCGGAGGCCGCTTTACATCCCTCAGCACGATGAACCAAACCGGGAGTTCCCTATCACAAACATAGACTCAACAGAATTGAGAAAATCTATGAAAAAATCAAAAAGGCCAGATCTGCTTATGGTCACAAGCGAAATGTCAAGTGCGAGTCGGTCTATGTCTGGAAGCCAGAGTGATGACGACGACCATGCTACTACACCTACCTCTGACCACAACATGCACTCTATAAGGCAAGTTTAATTTCATTTCACATGTTTCAACTACTAAACTTTAATTCGTTCAGCACTGATGCTCTTGATGTCATCGCCCATCGAGAGAAATTCTTGAAGAATACTTTTGAATCATTAAGTGGTGCAGAAGATGCCTCATCCCCAACAACCAAAGGTGAGCTTTCTGGCATTTTAATTTTTCATAGTTGTATAATTTCTGTTTGAATAATTGTCATTATGACTATAATTTCAGGGAAGAGAAGTCTTTCGTCTCAGCATCATGGCAGCCAGTCTGGAAGTACTAGAAATTCGAACGTGATTCAAGCTGCTAAACACACTAAAAATGATATTGGAGCCGTAAGTAAACGAGAAGAGCTGCAAAGACGCATCCAAGAAACTAGGCGGCAATTACAGAGTGTAAGTCTTTTTTTCTAATTTTGTTTAACCGATTTAAATAATTTAATTATTGTTTATTAAATAAATTTCAGGTTGGTTATCGTTCCACTCTTAAAACAAGTCAGAGTATTCAGGATTTAAGCATGCATGGGATTTACAACGATTCACGACCGAAACCCGTCCCGAGGCACCGAACAGTCCAGCAAGGTAATGAAATTGATAGCAGCACGTTTACACGAAAACCGCGAACTAACAATCCGACTAACCAACGCCCAGTGAGCCTGAACCTTTCTCAGCTCTCTGTCTCCCCATACAAATCCGGATGCAAGTCGATGGATGCATCCCTAACGGGGTCTCCGATTAATGATAGCGTTTCTCCGACCAAGTCTTTCTGCGAACCCGATATCAATATGAGGTTTGTGGCTCAGAAGGCTAACTGCTTCAAGCGTTACTCGTGTTGTTTTTATGTAAATATTAATGAGAAAGAAGTAGATGTTGGTAGAGAATCTAAGTCAGTCGACGATCTCAGTGAAGTCGGTAAAAAATGCGGGATTTATCTTGAGGACAAATCCGATTTGAGCGAGTACAGTTCTGACTCACTTGAAGAGTGCAATCAATTCAGGACTAAGCCTCGAAGATGTATGAGTGAGTACCAGATACTCGAAAGATCATCAAGTTCTATAGGATTCAAGAACGACACTCGGTTCGAGAAAACTAAATTTCACAGTGAAGAAAACATACTAGCCGACGATAATAATGAGGGATGGGAGAGGCACAGCAGTGCAAGCTTTTTCCTCCGTAGAAGTACCTGTAGAAGCACAGAGAGCATATTGACTGATGAGAGTGAATATCAATTTTTATTTAGCAACCGAGAAGTCTTTCGCAGCACTGAAAGCATTTTGACTGATACCGGAGATGTAAAGGAACTCCCTGAAGATTTAGATGAAATACCTCAGAAGCAGTCTGTAGTCAGAACGAGAAGCCTTCAAGACACAACTTCGAAACTACAGAACGCCCATTCACATACTTCCAAAAGCCGTCCAGAAACACCTTTTGCTCACAACATTGAAGAGTGGCCTGTAAAGGAAAAGACTGAAGAAATGAAGAATAGAAATGAATCGTTTTTCATCCCCATCGGAAACGGACCCCTCAAGCCGACATTGCCCGAAGCCCTTTTGAAAAAACACCAATACAGAGAGGATCAGAAAAAGACAAATTCGCAAGCATCACATCCAGTCGTTGCGCATAAGCCGCCGAAACCCAAATTATACCCGACAGGTAACAAAAACTCGCAGACAAAGTGCAATAAGATCATTCACACGGTGATAGTTAGAAAGAAAAGTGACAAGATCAGTTTGTTGCAAAATTCTTTTAAAAATCAACTTCTTGGTTCGCCTGTCAAAGATCCCGGCTTGAACAACCTGAGTGATCTTCCACATTTCAACGGAGGACGAGTCAAGCTTTTGTCACAAAATTTCGAAAAGATAAGTGCCAGAGACGAGTTTTCCTGCGACTCAGAGAGCTCGACACCCGGTACTTCTTCCTCTTGCGCCAACTCGCCCAAACGAAAATGGAAACCGAGCATTGGCAGCCAGCTCGCAAGAAAAATTGCAAATGGCCAGATCCTTCCAGATAAATGCACTGCAGGTACCTGTAAAGTTTTACTTTTTCAGTCTTTTATTTTATGTAAGTGTAATTTTGTTGTTGTAGTGTTTGAATTTTTATTTTCTTGTGAAATCGCACGTTTCATTTATCGAAATTTATATTTTTTTAAATATTTTAATTTCTGTAGTTTTTATTTTAAATAAAACATTTTATTTATTTATTTTTTGGTTTAGTTTATATTTATTTAATTTCCTTACACCCATTTATTTTTTTTGTTAGAATTTAATTAATATTTTTAAATTTTTACATATTTGATTTCCTCTACCAACATCTACTTATTTCATTGAATATTTATTTTTTTCATCGTTTATAACATAATATGTACAGCACTTATTGTTTTTAATTTTTGTAAAACTGCTGTGTTGCATATATCATATTTTTACTCTTGCTAGTTTGTTAGTTTTAGAATTTGATTGTTGTCAATAGTTTTCGTTTGTTTGTTGTGTGAAATGCATGATATGTTTGGTAGTTCAAGATGACAGCGGAGGTATCAGGAGGGCGTGCTCATTGAGCGACCTGGCCAACCCCTCTCCGAGGCAAAGAGGTGCGAATACAGGTAAGCCTTAATTTATTTTTCATCCTAGGAATCTTATTCTTGTGATTGTCTTTATTGTCTATAATTCTATAAATGGTAAAACGTATATTTACTATTATTAGTTAGTTTCTGGAATAGCTCAAGGATGCACCCTGACAACAATAAAAATCTCAAATGTGCGAATATGAATTTCATTGCAAACGTTTTTAAAATATCATAAAAAATTTTAAACAGACTTTCAAATTTCTTCTAGATTTGTTTAATTATAAAGTTCATTTTCATTGATCGGGGGTGGGTGGCAGATGGAAGGCATGTTAAGATAGTGTTCACTCACAGTTTGCTGTTTTCAATTATGCGAATTTCAAGCATTAAATGCTCATCATCAAGTTGATGGAGTTACAAACATGAATTGTAAGAGTGAACCCACTCTGCCGATCCCTCTCTAGCGCGGCATTACAATGAGAGGCTGGTTTTTAATGCCGTTTAATTTGAATGTGCGAAAAACATTAATTACAACACAGCTAAATGTTATCCAAAAAAAATAATATAAGAAAATAATTTTAAATTATTAATTAATTTGTATGTCAAATATTTAGATACATGTTTAAAATTTAGAAGGTAGATCAAAACCTATTATATTATTACCTTATATTAGATTATATATTAGATATCTATCGCTCCAGAACTGTAAAAAAAAAAACTTTTTGAAACGTTGAAAATACCAAAAAACTTAGAAAAAGTAGGTGTTTTAACTGGTTTTTAGATTTTCACCTACCGGTTGAGGTGTTAGTTGCGAGTTTCAGTATTGATGTAATCGACTATTTCTACTATCGCTTCAGATAGGTTCTCTCAATAGATTTCATTCAACCAAAGTTTAATTGTGATAATACACATTTCCTTAAAATAAAGAAAATTAATTAAATATTTTTTTTAAACAATTCAATCATTTAATTAACCATAAACTTTATTTTTTATTAAAACTTAAGTGCACATTTTTACAAACTGGACAAACCAACATTGCTGTAATATATGTTTGTAATTAAATTATTTACATAGATGTAAATGTTATTTTGCTATGTTGTAGTGCCTTAAATCAAATAATTAGTTTAGTTCCAGATTAAAATATATATATTAAATGTTCATAAATTAGTATATTTTTTCTGCTCTTTTTTTGTATTTAGTTTGTAATGTATAGGCAATTCTAAATGTGCATGGTAAATTTATGTTGTGTTGTGTTTGATATTTTTGTTATTCAATTGTTGACTATTTTCTAGTTTTCTTTATTTTCAAGTGTTCCAACGAAGAAATAAAAAAAAATTACAAGAAATAAATGTATGACCTGTTGATCGTAGATTTTTGTGTGTCAAAGAAATCAATTTTGTTTTTGAAACTATATGCAAGAGTAGTTCAGAAACAATTTACATGCTTAAGTAAATTATTTTTCTCCAAATTGTTTGAATTTTTATAAGGACAGAAGGAATTGACAAAAATTGAAATATTCTTGTTGGCATACCTAATATTGGATGAACCTTTTTTTTAAAGAAAACCTTATTCCTTGCAGTACTTGTTAATAAACCACACAGCCCTGTGAAAAATCTATCCTGCTCGACTAGGCACGCGAGTACAAAAAGTTCACTGATGATGAGAAGCAGTTCAGTCGGAGTTTTGAACCAGGTAAAACCGATTGCCCGGTGTGATTTGGAATTTTCCCCTTAACATTTATCTCGTTTAGAGCGATTCAGAAAGTGATATCAGCCAAGCGACAGGGCAGCGGAGCCTCGTCTCTCTTAGGATCATGCGCCCAACGATATCCTCCCAGAACAAAGTGGCCAGCAACAGTACAAGCAAGTCACGGATGGAAGCGAGGCGCAGAGGTTTGTCTGGAGCATATTCAAGCAGTTCGTATATTTTATTTTTTCTTTATTAGAATTTATTTAACTTATTAAAAGTGATGAGAAAACCAAATTATAAAGATTTGTTCTATTATTGTAAGTAAAGAGTATCTCTAATTATCTCAATGTTTGTAATTTTTAATAAATGTTATCATTAGTCATTTATCGTCTCCAGCATGAAAACTTTACAATTTTTTTTAACCCTTTACAATATTTCGCATGTAACTTGCATTTGATTTAGTTTATGAAAAGTCACAAAATTGTAAATTTTTGCTCATAAATTGTGTACATTTATGTAACAACTTATCAATGTGTTATAGTCACTTTAAATCAAGCTGGAAATACAGAGGATTCCAGTTCTGAGGAAAACCAAGCTCCGACACCTTCTTCCAAGCCGACGCCACCACCGAGACCCAAGAGTGTGAATTTAGACCGATCAAAGTAAAAATTGGATTAAAATCCCTTTTAAAAAATCCACTTTACATTTGATTTTGTTGTTTCAGTGGCCCTAGAAGGTCAGGCTTGGGAAGGAGTGGGTCAGAGCGTGACATTGCCCGAGCCAGCAGTAAAATTCAGCGTAGCAGCAGTGCAATGATCAGGCCATCGCTCGACCCCAGCCCATATGAAATCCCTGTTAAAGACACCGATCGCGTGGATGTTACCAAAGCTCCCTGTAAGTCATAAAACAACTCTGAATAAAATATAAATGTTATTATTAGATTTGCCAGATTATTACGTCTTTATAAAATGATAGTTACTACTCACAGTTAGTTGCTTTCAACAATCCAGAAGCCTATAGGTCATCATCAGGTTGACGGAATTTACAAACACGTATCTTGTCATAAATTGAAAGAATGAACCTGCCAATGTGGTGTTCTAATGAGAAACTGGTTTTTAATGCCGCTCAATTTTGAACATGCGAAAAGTGGGAATTATAACACACATAATAAATATTATATTAATAAATACTGTAAGAAAATAATTACAAAATAATGATTAATTTGTGTTTTTATTTATTAATTAAGACAAGTAAAAATAATAGATTAGTAAATTAATGATAGAAACCTGTCAACCTTGTCTTTAGGTTTTGAGAGGATGTTTTTAAATGAACATGTACTTCTAAAAGATATTCTAAAACCTTCTTGTTTAAGAATTGTATCTTCTTTTTCTGACAGTTCACCAATGTATGGCAAACAATGAAAACCTAATAATTCATTTTTGTAGGGGTGGCCGAGTCCAATTGTTGCTTCTTTTAAAGTAAAGTTTTTTGTTTTTACTAGCAACCTATTGATAAATATTAATTGGTATCCATTGTTTTTAGCTAAGGTTTTAATTGTTTGTAATTATTTTTTATAATTAGCAGATGTTATGGGAGTTTCAATGTATGGTCTATGAGCCAAATGATTCCAACAGCTTTTTGGATTCATAAGTGAGAAGAATCTGGTGGTATTATAGTGACTCTAGTTGTAAACTTTATACATATATGTCTATTTGAATTAGGTGATCTATTCTAAAAAGTTTAAACAACCATCTTTATTTATTTCCAGTCTAAAATTTATACTAGGGTGTAAAGAATTAATTAATTGGAATAATTCTTTTAGAATCTCTCATTTAGTTCCCAGCCATATACATAAAATATTAACTGCATAGCTTTTCCAAAACAGGACAGATTTAATTAATTTGTTATTTGATTTGAAAAGACTTTTTTTAAAGCTATCCATGAATATTTCGGCACAAAGTGGGTATAATGGACACCCCAGGGGTAACCCTTTCATTTCATAAAAGTTATTATTGAATTTAGAATAATTAGATAGTAGGTATACATTTAAGAGGTGTATTATAACATATATTTTACAAATTGTTTAATAGAATTCTCCGTAAGTTCTTGTTTTATAAGTTTTGTACATTCTTTAACAGGGATATTTGTGAATTAATTTGGAACATCAAATGACATTAAAACATAGTTGTTAAGTTGAAGTTCTTTAATTGTTTTGTCAATTCTAAAGAATTGTTAATACCGAATGTAGGTTTGAAATTGGTGTGCTTTAATTTTTAATCAATTTTAATTGGGAGTTTTTGGTATGGAGAATTATAAAAGGCATTTGTAACTAATAACAAAAACTAATAATAATTAACTAACTAAGAATTATATAAGGAACTTAAAATTATAAAACTGGTTTTGTAGGTGTGTTTTCCTTGTGAATTTTGACCATACTGCATAACATTGAGAGTTTCGGATTCATTGGTATTAGTTTTTTAACTGCACATTGGTCATTTGAGAATAAAAAGTCACTATTTTTTATGGCTCTTTGAACTTCAGTTTTTTTTTTATTTTAAGGTGGGATCTCTTTTTATTTCTTTACAATCGTTATTGTTTAGAAATTCTTCAATTTTAGAAACATATTTTTGATGATCAGTGATAACTGTACTATTTCCTTCATTGCTCCTATTTTAACTTTTAACCATGTACCTAAACAATATTAGTCATACAAATTAATGAAATTAATTATTTTTTTATTATTTAATTTTATCATTAATTTACTAATCTATTATTAATGTATTGTCTTAATTTTAATTTGTAGTAATTAAAATATAATTACTAATCAATAATAACTAATTTATAATTAATTTCTTGCAGTATTTATTAATATAATATTTAATTGTTATACTTCCTGCTTTTCACATGTTGATAATTGAGCAGCATTAAAAACCAGCTTCTCATTGGAAAGTCGTGTGGGCGGTGGATCACCGTTCACTCTTACAATTCATGTTGAGAGTCTGGTTGTAAATTCCTTCAAACTGATGACCTTAGTGCAGTAAAGATCCTATTCTGTATGATAATAAGTTCGGTACAGGCATGGACGCATTCTACCCCATACTATTTGACCGTTCAGTGACTCTTGCATGGTACATGAAGAAAAGTGTTCTCCACATCTTCTCCACAGACAGTTTCTGTCGTCTGATTACCACAAACCAAACCGGCACTCATCTGTGAAGAGAACAGCCATTCCTCCCTCCATTGTTCAAGTTTCCAAGGGAAATGCTGATTTCTAATATTCGCCTTTCCAGTAGTAGAGAGCCTGATTGTGCACATCTAGAGACTAAGCTTTGCTCACAAACCCTTCTGATGACTTTTTTAGAGCTCACCCTTACATTACGGATCATTTTGGAGTTGAATACCTATCAAGGAAGCTGTCATGCATTGCAGTTGACCATTACTTTCCCTTTGATCAAGGCTTACAGTCACTGTAGACCTGAGTGGATAGTAGAGCATGGCATACCCAGTACTTTGGTTCGAAATGGCTATTCTCTATATCAAGGAAGGGAATTAGGAAGCTGATACATATTCTGACGAGCCACTTCCCACTGAGAAGACACCTCTTCGTAATGGGTATCCTACCAGATCCCTTTTGCTGCTTCTGCGAAATAAAGGAAGAAACGGCAAGGCACTACCTCGCAGAGAGTGATAGGTATGCTAGGTCTAGATTTGAAATCTTTGAAGGAGAAGACATCACCAAATCACTCCCCGAGATAAAATTGTCAAAAATCTTGGGGTTTGTGAACAAGTCCAAGAGGTTTATGTAGGATACGTGAGCCGACCAAGTCCCGGACCTTTTAGGGATGGGGTACGAGTCTACCCAGGTATTTAACCCCTCGGGTCTTGGTCGCCCACCCTGCATATATATGAAAGTAACAGATGCTACATCCATCGTTGGCCAAAATATCTGCCTGGGATCTTCTTGTCTTAGAAGATACTTTTAAGGGAAAATTTTTTTCACACCAATTAATTGTTTTATTAAAGAAACCAATTTAAAACTGATTAAATCACTTGACAAATTGGCTCTGGAAAGGATAAAATTGAACTGATTTTCTTTATTTTTAATGTAAAGAGTGTAAAAGGAGTAGTAACACTCTATACGGGTAAACAGCAAGTTATTAATGTTGTGTTTATGTTTTAAGTCAATTATTAATCTTTATTCCTAGTTATTATGGAAAATTGAATTTTGAATTTGTCTTTGTTTTTATAATGTATGCGAGTGTACAATGTGAAATCTCGAATATACTTGTTTTTCAAAAGTGATTGCTTTATCTATTTCAGTATCCCAAGACCTTGTTGAAACAATGGCAGAGAGGCTGCAGAAGGCTACAGACAGTGTCCTCGAACTTCACAGACGGCTTCTCGAGCAGACTGTCGATCAGGCACAGCGCGAAGCCCTTCTTGCTGTTATTGGCGAGACTCAAAAGAAGCTCGGCCTCGTTACACGAAATGACTCGTGATTAATATATGAACAGCACACCCATTCAGTTTTGTAAATGTTGATTTTTTTTTAAATTGTTTCAATTGTTTGTTAATGAAAGTTTACTAGTAACATCTTCTAATTTATTCCATTAACTGAGATTTCTTGTACTAATTTGAAAAAACAAATCAGTCACTGGAATTTCTGTATTAGAAATTAAAATTAACTTGTTAATATATTTGTGATTTACCCACATCTTTGTAATTATTAGTTATATAAGGACTTTTTATCTGTACTTTTTTTGTATTATATAGAATTGTATCAAATTTTAATTTAGTTAGTTTTATCTTGTGCCAAAGTTTGCTATGTAAAAGGCCACAAGTGGTGAGTCAAGAAAAAAAAAAGATGAAGATAAAAAATGCAATAATTCACGTTATCAAAGAATTTAGTAACCATGAGACTGAGGGAAAGTTAAGTCATGTAAAAAGGCTTTTCTTTTAATTAATTACTTTTTGGAATATTTTGTCTGTATGAAATTGCTTCTTGATTCTTTAATTACTTGTAGGAAAAATGATTTTCTTTTGTACAAAACATTCCAAACAATTGATTTATCATGGCAGGATGGGGTGTGAAAATTTTGTCTAAAAGAGAAAAATGAATTCTTCCCAATAATTGAGTTGGGCTCAATTTAAAATGCCACACATCTTTATTATTTTAGTTAAATGAGGTTTGCTTTTCTATCTAATCTAAGTTAACAATTATCAGAAATCATTAGATTTGCATTACCCGTAAAATTTTGAGTTTTGTACGCTCAGAAATTGTATCATTTTGATGAAAAATCAATATTTTGTAACTAAAATCCTGTCGAGAATCATTGGAATTTTATCTGTGCAATATTTTAACAAAAAAAAAAGTATTTTTGAGGTTTTTTAAATTGCTTGATCGCATTTTTACTTATTATATAAAGAGTTTTCAAAATTGTTGTGTTTGTTTTAAAAATAATTTTGTTTTAGCACTTTTAATCTTCTTTTACACAAGAATTGTTGTTAAGATTACGTTACCAACTTAATTTTTTTAAAGAACTCAACTATTGGGAGATTTCTGAATAATTTTCTTTTGTAATAAACAATGAACTCATTTTTCTAACTACAAATGTATTTTTATCTTTAGGAAAAAAAGTTTTGAGAAAGATGTAAAAAAGTTAATAAAATTAATTCACTAATAGTTAGTTTTAAAATAGTTATTCTTCTTGGATAATTGTTATTATTCCTAATTACTTAAAAAAATGAACATTCTGGAAATAAAATAATATAGATAAGTGCTGTGTTAAAACTTTATATATCAAGTGCTTAAGACAATATTATAGTTACAATGATTTATACATTTAAACAAATAATTTTAATGCTTTCTATTTTCCAACCCTTTTTGGAAAATTAGTTAACGTATTCACATCCCAGAATGTATCTCTTTGTACTTTATTTTTATGGTATGAAGGGGCCTCAAAATGGCTTTTTTTTAAGCCGTGCAAAGCTGGAAAAGCGTACCTTTCGGGGTATGTCGTGTTAAGTGGATAAAGTATCAAAAGCGATACAAGATTTAACAACTTTTCAACAGTATTTCCCTTCTGCTTTAATATACAAAATAGTTTTTAAAGGGGCATGCTTAAATATATAATATAAATATAATTTTTTACCATTTCTATATTAAAAATGATGAAGCTCATGTTATTTTTTATGGATGAATACTGTGTTAGTCAACACCAGATGTGTATTGTACAATGATATGTAAAATTTTACAACGTAGTTTTCATTAATTATGGAGCCTTTAATTGGAAAATGGAGGACGTATACAATGTTTACCGTTTTTGTTGGTTTTTCACTTGAAATTGTTAGATTTTTAATGGTCGATTGCTTCATTATTCCAGTGATATGTTAAACTTTATGAACAACAGTAATATCAAAATTTTAATGTTAAATTAACAAAAATATGTAATGAAATCTAATTGTCACAATAGAAAAAATATATAGATAACAACTCTTAAAAATATAACAATGTTTACATTTATTTATAGTTTCAAGTATTTCTTCAAAACCATTACTTGTAAAAATAATGATAGTATCCATAATATATTAATTAACAATTTAAAAAAAATATTTATGTTAAAATAGACTGGTTTTATTTAACTAAAAAAAAGATAATTTTGATCCTTTGCAAATTTTTTTTATGCCAATTGCAATTTGACCAATTAACTGGAGGTAAAATTAAAATGGTTGTCCAGGTGTAAATAATTGTATAGGAAAATACTTCTGAGACCATTGTGCTTACAAAAACTTATGGCATTTTGATATGACCGGCTTCCATTATTTAAGTACAGTTGCCGCTAGTCTGACTGATTGGAATGAGTCCTGTTCGGTTTAGCTGAATTATGAAGGAAAACAGGTCTGTAAACACCGGAGCAGGTTGGTTAAAAAATTAGGCTGGAAGTTTAGAAAAAAGAGGACAAGGGTGTAGATAATTTGTTTAGGATGTTGGTCTGCCTATACTTGTAGTTTTGGCTTTTCAGTTTCAGGCTACAGTTTTTATTATTAATTTTGGAGTCAAAATATGTCTGACAAACTCAAACTAAAGGATGATAGATCAAAATTTTCAGAAAGGACTAAAGACCTATCACATAATTTTTGGATGAAAGAGCAGTGAAAAATTGGTAGTAGTTTAGAGTGGGCAAAATGTTAGGTTGTCCGGACATGTTTATGGTTATAAAATAAAAACAAATCAATTATTTCAAACATTTTTTTATTAATTAAAATATCCTTCATCAATCTTATACAGTATGCCAATGTGTTGGCAACTTCTCTATACATTCTTAATAGAATTTTGAGTATTTATTATTAAGATGTTCTGTAAAAAAATTTCTAATGAATTTTGATCAATAAATTTTCTAAGTTGTAAATTGTTGTCCAGGTGACAGAAAAAATGGTAGCTGGTAGGCGAGAGGTTGGGAGAATAGAGAGAGCAAGGAGGAGGAACCTTATAGCCAAGATCCAACACTACCCACATGTTTTTGTGTTGTCATATGTGAGTTATGGGGCCGAGCGTTGTCATCTAACAATCGGCCTTTTCCGATTTACCAAAGGTGGCTTCAATAATGCCAACTTCTGGTGCATTGCTTCAGTTTGAGGTCAATACAATTCGGCGTTGATTATTTTGCCAGGATTCAAGAAGCCGTAGTAAATCAACCCAAATGAAGCCCACCAGAGTACCCTTATATTTTTTTGGTGAGTTGAGGGCTTGTCAAACAATATCCATAACATCTGCTGTTATAGAGATCTGCTGTTTTCATCACACATGATATTTCTATCTAGAAAAGGTACATTTTTGTTTTGGCAAAAATGTGTTGTGCACACTTCATAATGATTTTTTAGACGATCGTTTAAAGCATGAAGAACCAAACTTTCAAGCTCTTTCACTTTAAGGTGGTCAGCGATGGTTGATTAGCTAACTGAAAGATTGATTCTCTGCAAGTTCTCGAACAGTTGCTCTGTGACTTTCTTCAATCAAAGCTCACACATCATCATCTAGGGAAAAAATTCTGTCATGAACTTTGTCTTCAAAGCTAAAATCTCCCCCTCAAAATTTTTTAAACCATTTTTGAACAGTGGTGTCTCTCCCACTGACATCTTGACTTCTGCCAAATTCAGTTGTTTACCAACTTTTGTTTGTCTAAGACTACCCCTGCTTTAATAAAAGGACAATGTCTATGGGTTGAGTGTAAGCAATGACATGGAATGTGTATATGGTTGTCATCCTGTAGGCCTTAGTAAGAGCATCCTTTGATTCAAGAATATTTCTGGTTTGACTTTTCATTCTCGATGCCCACACTGCACTTCCATATGTTGCTGTAGCCAGGTATATACTTTTATATTTATTTTACCCTGTAACACCTTCAAAACTCGGCAGCTTCCTCTTCAGCATCATGTGGGAGATAGGTTATACACAATACACACCTTTCTGTTTTATAAATTCAGCACTATGAAAAATAAATGCAGGAGTGAGCATGAAGTAGCATACTAGGTCCAATACACTTAACTATATAACAGTTATTTTCCAAAAAATAAAAACGTTTTGCAGATACTCACTGGTGATACTGACAATTTTAACCCTTTCTCCATTGTGATGTATAATTTAAAGTGGTGCCCACATGAAAGACCATACATTTATACCACATACCAAGTATTCTTTTACCATAAAACTAAATACTTTCCTCAGTACCTCTTTGTGCGCTTATTGTGGTGTTACCAATGAGACCATACCATATCTGTGGGCTATTGCCTCACGCAACTTCGACTACTTAGCCAGAATTAAAATTAACGTCTAAATTCAACTTTCAAAGTCCATGCTTTATTTTTTTGGACTTAAACTTACTTATGAATCGAGCTGCACTTTTATCATTGTGTAAATTTCAATTACAAAAAGGAAAACTGGACAACTCAGGGGACAAGGTTAACAAAAGAAAAGTATTAAGTTGACAAAAATAATTAAATATTTATTTTATAACATAGATATTCACCTTTCATATGTGCACATTATATACATAAAGAAGTGAAGTTAAAAAAAATTGCCTCTTATGTACAGATCATAAAGAAAATAAACATTATTGGCAACAAGATTGAGCACGTATTTACAGATTATATTTGATTTTCCCCACTTCCTTTAAATATATATATATATATATATAAATCAAAATACTGAATTATTCTACTAATTCTCAACACGAGTTATTTGTTAGGTCTTTTTTCTCCTTTTTTTTTTTTTTTTGTTAATTACATGCTACGAAAAGCGCAATGGTCCTTGAAAATATGTCATTTCTTTGTATATCACAATAATTTCAATAAATATATTTTAAAATGATTACAACAAGAAACTAACATATTTAAAACAAATATCACATTTACAAATGGGTTATTCTGATTCCTCTAAGCAGATTTTTAAAAGAAAGGCAAAGAGCACCAATACAGATGGATGTTAAGTATCAAAAATTAGAGATACAAAAATAATTATTATTTACAAAAAGCAAAGGTTTTGTACAAAATAGCATGATTTTTGTGTGAAATTTCTTCACTCAATTTTTTTTCCAATGTAAAAAAATATACACTTGAAGATCAGGAAGTTCGTTGGTCCCAGTAATTATTCGATGGATTCAAGTTACAATTAAGCAGATCCGATTAGCTCACTAAAAAGGGGAAACAGATATAGTATAAATCTTTGCCTCCTCGTTTCACTTAGTTGATTTATTGAATATAGTTAGGTGTTCTATTGACCTGTCCAAACAAATTTATTTCTGGTTAAGCATTTCAGAGCTAAGCTGCCAATCATGTCATCATACTTTATTACAATTAAAATTTTTTTTTAAGTGTACAGTAATTCCTTAACACTAGCGGTTTTGACATTTGCAGAAGTCTGATTTCTTTTTCTGATTTTTTTGAAAAAACAGTTGCCTAAACAATTTTATTTTCCTATCGAAAATAATTCTTTAAAAAATGGATTGGAGACTCTAATTGACTCTCAGAAATCTTTTGCCTGCTTTCAACATATTGTTCCTTCTTTCTTCTCCGATTGTTTTATTCTCTTGTGAAAATTGTGTCGCAAAATGCCTCCTCTTCCAAAACGGAAAAAAATCGTCCTGACCTTCCGTGAAAGATGAAATTTTTTGAACATGTTACATTTTTTATGCAGGCCAAAGCTTTTCTTCGAAACAGTTCAGAGAAATTTTAACCTTAGCAGGATTTCGACCCATCTTTAAACTGGAGTTTTAAGTTTAAAAGGAATGTCAAGGCCACTTCAAATCCTGATGTGGAAATTCGTAAAAAAATTAATTATTCAGCAAAAAAGCAAACAATTAATAGTTATTTCTTTCCTTGCACGTCAAAAAATACAAAAAATGAAAACAAATAACATGTCCAAACACTGTTATGTCTTCTATGACGGTTATTTTGAATAAACTTTTTTTTAAGTTCTGAATATTGTAAGTTCTGCTCAGTACTAGGGCAGCTGAGACAGCACATAAAATTTGCTCTGCATTCAATGATGAAACAATAAGTGGATGCACTGCCCAAAAATAGTTCAAAAGCTTTTAAAAAAAAGTACTCTACTAAACAAACACATAGCATCACTTTTTATTGGTGAATATTTGGTTTTAAATGGAACAGGGTCATTTGGTGACTGGCATGACCTCCTGGTGTAACTGAACAGGAACCATTTTTTTGTTTCATCACTTGTTGAACATTCTGGGCAAGATCTTGAGTTTAAAAGCTTTCCTTAATTTGTCATTAGAATGTCTACCATACAATGGTACATCTTCAATCCCCTCAATCCTAGAAACAAACTTTTTGATTCACTTTTGGCCAATGCACGCACTAATTGTTTCATCACCAGACACTATTTGACATGCTGCCTCGTCTGCTCTAGATATATATATACAGGGTGAATTGCTACTCGTGCTACAAACTTCTCCAGTAGATTCTTCACCCTAAAATGAACAAAAAAGTTCATATTGTCCATGGTCCGATTCTCAACCATTTCAGAGTAATTTCGCTTTTTATCGATTTTGAAAGATATCACGTCCTGGCGTCGGAAAATCGTGATATNTATATATATAATGTATTTATTTAATTATTAAATTTATTAAATTTTTATAATTAACTGCTCAAAATAGTTTTCCTTAATTGTACATTATTCTCTTGGTATTATGCGATATACAAACCTCCTATGTAAATAGCAATGTTGATTAACGGCATTAAAACAATAACAAATGAAAACGCATGAACTGTTCTGGTTGCCTAGTATTTTACGTTTTTTAAGTTCTGCAATGAGCAATAAAAATAATCAAACATAAGACGCAGCCAATGTGTTAACCATTTCAGCCACGACATCACTGTCCAGTCTTTATTTTAGATATTTTTTAAATCTTTTTTAATAAATAATTGATCAAAATACATGGCCAGAATTGGTTGGACAAGATCAATAAGTCACCTAACTAAATTTAAATATAGTTTACACAATATTAGACAGATTAATAAAAAATACCTTGCTAATTCTCTGCTAACCAATCCAGTTCTTGACCTGCTCCTATTGAGCTGAGCTCTTCTTTCAGCTAATAATAACAAAAATAATATTTTTAAAAAATATTTTAAGTAAGTTTGTAAAATCAACATAAGCAGAGACCAGATATGCAGTAAAAATTGCCAAAATATGCAGTTCGAAGCCCTGAAATATGCAATAGTAAGCAGTATTAATACATTAAAAGTTTTTTTTAAATATATTTTCTTACTTACATAATTAAATTATACATTTTATACTAATTGAGTGTAATTAATGTTATATTACTAATGAGTGTAATAAACAAGTACTTCCCTAAATTATCTTCCATAAAATAGTGCCCATGGTTACTTAAAATTTGTGATTGTATTGAATATTGAAATAAGACCTAAGAAGGAGTTGTATATTCTTTTGTTGGTATTACTAGAATCTTCTCTTACCGTCATTGCGGCCTGTTTTAGTTTTCTTTAAATTAAACCAACTTTTTGTAACTTTTATTTTTTTATTTTTTTTATGCTTCCCCCAAAAACCAATATAATATTTTAAATATTTTGTGCAATAAATGCGTTTTTTCGTCAAAATCCTTCATTCTTCAAATATGTGATGTACAAATATTCAATTTTATGCGTTATTCATCAAATATGCAAGGTTATGTGATATTCACCAAATATGCTCCATAAAATTTAACCTACAGCATCCTAGATACATGATTCGGATAGATAATATGCAACTGCACCTACTACTCGGCCGTATGTGTGGCAAACAAAATATGCAACTGCATAAAAATCTGGTCTGTAAATATAAGTAAATAACTCACCGCCAGTGGGCCTTGGGCCGGATCTTTTCCGCCGTTGGTCTCTGCTGAATGCTGAACCAGTCTGCAAGGCTTCAAGAAGACTGTCCATGACGCCCTGTTCCTGCGCCTTCATATCAACAAGTGCCTTTTTTCTAGCATTTCTCTCCGCTCGCTCGACCTCGGCCTTCTCCCTCGCTTCCTTGGCTCTTCTGCTCTTCTCTTCGGCCTCCCTCTGGACCACGTTCTCTTTATGGGCTTGCTACAATTTGTATAAAGTCATTATTTTGTATTGTCAAAATGAGTTTGTCTTTATTTACATAAAAGCCATCAATGAAGCTTTTCAGATCGGAGAAGAACTCTTCAAGGGTGTATTTCTGCTTGTCAAACGAGTAGTAATCGGCCAGGTCGGCAAAAAGGCTTTCCATGGTTTGGAACATTTTCTTCAAAACTGCACATTCCTGCCTGACTTGCTTTGCAAATGCCTAATATAGTTTGTCAAGGTATCATACTTTCATTTAAAATTAAACTAACATTAAAGTTTTAAAAAAATCAACTTTGAAACATAAACATCTCGCTTAAAGTCATAAGTCAAAGTTCTGTTCATCTCATCCTACTGTGGGTTTATTAGATTACTAGCAACATTGTTTTACATCAGATGAGTCATACTAACCCTAACACTAAAAGAACTAAATAATTTGTCATCATTTGATCTATAAGATCTCAAAGATGTCCTTTTTTAACCATTGATTCTCCGATAAAAAATCCATAACCACTACGCATTTTAAATATAAATAAAAAACAACTGTTTATTGCGTTTTTGAAAAAATAAAGCTTTCGTTTGTAATTAGAAACCTGTCTAATTAACATAACATGTGTCATAAGAAGATTTACAGAACACAAAAAACTTCATTATAAATGATTGCGATGATCAGGCCTGGTTGAAAATCCAAAAATAATTTTGGACAAAAAAGCCACAACAAATTAGAAAAATGAAATACTGATTCTCAATCAAAAACCAGTCCCTCATATTTAGGTTTGTTCACATGTCTATACCATCGGCAAACTGACGTTTAGTTTGGGCATTCCAACATACTACAAATGCAAACTCAAACTGTCAAAATGGCCATTCCAACATGGTGTCAGGCTAAGTTTATAACCAGTTTTGAACTATCAAAGTCTGAGGTGGGCTGGCATAGACATTTCTCAGCGTTTTGCTTGATTTTTTTACTTATAACTAGAGCCTAGCTTTATATGCAATATAATTTCTCAAATATGTCACACAATATACTCAAAGGTCCCGGGTTCGAATCCAGCGGCCCTACATTCAAAACCCGACACACTTACATATAGGCTTTTTTCAAAAACATCTGCGCCCCAAGAACACATAAATATAAGAAAATTAATTAAAAGTGACTATTTTTGTGTTTCAAAAGAGGCCCATATTTCCTTCACAACTATTTTAAAAAAAATTAATTTTTTTAGAAAAGGCAAAAATATCTGCACCCAGAAGTTTTAGAAATGGGACCTCAAATAAGATGCTGATTATTTCAAGAGAATTATATTGTATCTGTTTGTTTATATTAATAAAATAATGTAAAAAATCAAAATAAGATAAAAATTTCAAATTTGGAATATTCTACAAATATGACTTGAAATATGAAAGGGTAGGCAGCAGAACCCAGATTTGTTAATGCCGCTATTAACAGGAATCTTTGACTCAAAGGTGACGATACTTTTGGATTTGAGCATTTTTGAACCGATTTGTTGATAGGATTACTCTTTTGTCAACTTCAACCCCTGGTCCTCAACGCGGTCGTGGGTTCGATTCCCACCGTCGCCTCTGGCCCTTTTTTCACAATAACCCCCCCCCCCCAATTTGAACACACATATAAGAATTGTCACCATGGCTAATATGCATAGTTCATAAAGAAAAAGAGGAAAAAAACCCCTGGTCCTTCTAATAAGTGGGGTTTTAATCTCCTATAAAAATCTAGACATCAGTAGGAGGGATCAGTCTAAATTTTGGGAGACACCAAATATTCAGTTCTCCAAAGTTCTTATCAAGAAGCGTCGAAGCAGCAACCTTACAAGCCATATAGACAGTGCCATTTGACTTTGAAACGTTGGAAAAAAAGTGTTCCAACAGATAATAATTTGTGATCAGTTTATGTTCAGGAAAGCACAGTCAATAAATCATGCATTTGTTGGCAACTGGCTTGTGACTATATTGGAAAATACCAATTACTGTATCATTTTTGATCAAATTCAATTGTACAACTTTAGATGTGGAAGGATACACCCATGACTTCACTGAATTTGTCATCTTCATCCTGAGGTATTTTATTGTTAGCCAGGTCCATTTCCAGGTTCTTGACGTTAGCCTCCATCATACGGAGGGATTTTTGAATCGTGTCAACTGACACTCTGGCCGCCCTTTCGACGTGCATCAACTCGTCACCGAACGTAAGCAGCTCGGGGAACTTTCGCTCGATCGTGTCGACAAGGAAATGCATGAGGGTGCTCTTGTTCTCCAAATCCTTCGTCGCACTCAACTGCAAGTTACAGAAACTTTTTAAAAATGTACATACTATTGTAGTGTCTTATTGAATTTAACATTAAATGACTGAACAAGTAAGTACCAGTTCAGGTTTTTTCAAATTGAAACCGATTAAAAAGGTTTTTGTTAAGTAACAACAAATAAATAAATTTTGAAAGTTGAGTCTTTAAATTTGCTAGATCAAAGACCAAAACACATTTTTTTTCTGTCCAGCCATACATTACTACTGATATTTACTTTTGGTAGGAAACTCATTTCAAAAGCAAAAGCCTGGCCGTTCTTTGACCCGCTATTCATGTAATTCCCGAGCAGCAAAATCAGCTCAAGGATTTTTGCGAGTTTCTTGCTCTTTTTCACTTCTTCACAGGCTGCCGTTCCAGCAACAATATCCTGAAAGCGACAATAAAATAAGAAAATTCAAAAGTGAAATACAATCCTTTATAAAAATAAAACATACAGGTTTTATATCTTGAACCATTTCTGGATGGTGTTGTTTAAACTTCATCGATTTAAGCCTAGGTAACAATCTTTTAATTTCAGCCAGCTGGAAAGTTATGCAAAATAAAAGCCATGCTCAAACAATAAATAAAAACAAAATCTGTTACAGTGTAAGCAAACTGTTCGGCTTCGGTGAGCTCCTTGTAGTCGACTTTCAACTCAGTGAGCCTTTTTAGCTGGTCGGGTGGAGGCAGGTAGGTGATTAGGCTCTCTAAGATGTTATCCGTCAAAACTGTGCCGTCACAGTTTAAAATACACTTTTTGATATCCATATATGAGAGGTGTTTTAGTGAGCCACCAAGGAGAATCGACAAATTTTGGGCAGCCTTACTGTCAAGTACCCGAAGTGATTTCACTTTCTTCAAAGTACCGCTTCTGAAAGAAAAATTTACAAAATCACTCAAACCCTACCATTATTAAATAATTTTGTATTGTTGAGATCATGTGGGGATTTTAAGTTAGTAAATAATTCTACAATATCACAACATGGATGATAATATCAAAGTTATACGAGATGTATACAAGAAAATTCTAAATTCTTTTGGAGGTATGTTAATTCCAAGTATAAAGGCACAGTCATTACCAACTCTTGCCATTATAGTTACAATACTGCTAATTCTCTGCCTGAAACTGAAGATCTTTTTACCCATTATTTTATAATAAAATTTCCAAAAGAAGAAATTTCTTTTTGTCTTTCTAATTTCAATTGCAAAAGGGCTCAATCTCAGTCTGACTGCCTAACCGTCTTGTTCATTGAGTCCATCCTCTTGCTGGCCATTTTCCTACTCCCCTGGAGGGACAAAAAGGGCAAATCGCCCAGGTTGAGGGCCCTAGTGTTTTGAAGAACACCTTTCTACATACATTAATTTTTGTAAATAATTTTAGTTAAATAATAATGTTTTAGGTAACTTTTGTAATAATTAGTTTGTAAATAATTTAAATTGATTAAATATAATAGATTTTTATCTTTTTTAAATAAGAAATTTCAAGCTTACTACCTCAACTAATGATAAAACCACTAACTGTTGAAATATAAAAGAAAATTAGAAAATGGAAATAATAACAACCAAAAACATGAGTTTTTACAAAAATTGAAAACTAGGATCTGTGTGGGTTGCATAACTTGTGCATCGTCAGTTGCTGAATCATATAAGACCCACCTGGAAATGCTAATTTAGACGTAAGATAAAATTTAAAAAATATTTTTACCATGGAAAAAAATGACTCCCTTGATAAACAATAGCGATCTGCATTAACGAGTTAAATTATGTTGTCCTCAATATTAATAACACAAAAATATAGTTAGGGATAGTCAGGGAGAAAAAAAATTTACTTGTCAATAACATCTTCAGTCTTCTTTGTTTTTGGTTTTGATGAAAATCTAGCAGCAAGGCCATCGAGTATGTCAGATGAGGCAAGTTTCTCCTCTTGTACTTTGACCCAAAACGATTTTTCACTCAGTTTTTGAGGTAAAATCTGAAAATCAAAATAAAATTAAAATTCAGAATAAAATGTTTAAAAATGAAAGTCCTACAGTTTTCCAGTTGGCTCGTTTTATGCCCTCGACTTTCCACACTTTCTTCGGCTTGAGACCATAAGGTAGTTCTTCAGGTGGTTTTTGTGCTGGATAAAAGCCGCCTAAAGGAGGTGGTGGAGGCGGACCCATACCGGGTGGAGGAGGAGGTGGAGGAGGACCCATACCCGGCAAAGGAGGTGGCGGTGGAGGTCCACCAGCCCCTGGGAACGGAGGAGGCGGCAAAGCACCTCCACTGCCAGGCATCGGAGGAGGCGGTGGCGGTCCACCTACCATCATGCCAGGAGGTGGTGGTGGAGGTTTTGGCGCTGTCGACCCCTGAAATATTTGATATATTAACACTGAGAATTACATTAATATTATGGTTTACAAACCTTGACACCTCCACCTGCTTGAAGTTCTGCAATTGTTTTTTGAGCCAACATCAATTCAGCTTCTTTTTCTTGTTGCTTAGACGATAATTCTTCAATTTGCTTCATTAAATTTTTAATCCTTTCTTCATCTTCATTCTTTGATTTCTCTTTAATTGAAAAAAAAGTAAAAAATATAGATATATGATATCTATAATATGTATACATAGAAGAATGGCTACAGAATTGCAATATTATCAATTAAAAAATTGAGTTGTTCTAATTTTAGAATTAAGATGTGAAAAATAGACGGCTAAAAAATTAAGACTGCCCACACAAATCTATCTTTACTACTACTAATAATAATAATAATCACGTTTAGATCGTCTGTCGGAATGGATAAATATAAAAATAAATGAATAAATCACTGGCTAACAAAGAATTTGTGTGACATCTATTGACTATAATCAACATAACGATATAACTAGCTAACTTTAATTATAAACACGATGAAGAATAATTGTAGACATTACCTGCCAAACCATCGATGAGGCTTTCGATGTCAATTGGGAACTGTTTGCTCCTGAAGTCAGGGTCACAGCCGCTCCGGTGTAACACTATTTGCGATATGCACTCTTCAATGAGCTTGTAATAAGCTAGCCTGATAGGTGGATCATCCCGGATGAAAAGCAGATGTTGAAGAATTGATAGGAAGTAACATTCTGACGGTGAGTCCATGACCATGTTTTTAACCACCTCATAACACTCATTAACTTCATCAAAATCCAATCGAACGTTGTCAAATCTGTTTGAAAATTCATCATAGTCCTCTTCTCTGCCATCATTGAAAACTTTAAGTTGAACCTGCAAATCCTCACCTGCATCTTTTTCTAAACCCTAAAGTTAAATAAACAAATTAGTTTTTATCGAATTGTCAGTATTCACAAAATCACGTACATCTAGTAGGTCAACCAGACCATTCCTCATTATTTCATTTCGGAGATGTATTTTAAAATCGAGATCATCAGGTGTTGATATAATGGCATTGATCAATTGTAAACAAGCGACCTGAAAAAAACAAAATAATTTAGACCTGAATTGATGCCTGGTAATAATAAGATAGTAAAAGTTCACCTTTAGTGGTTCGTTGCTTTTACCCTGTAGGCCTTGGATCAGAGGTGAGAAACGGTCGAACTCTTTGAGCTCACCGTACATTGTGATGGCTTCGAGGACCTTGTTGTGCCCATCCGGTGGGACGAGGCACGTGGCTGCAAGGATCTTCACAGCTTCCAGCATCACGGTGCCTTTTGAAGGGTCAACTGACCTTGCTATCATTGTGAGTGCCTCATTCTGCTTGAAAACCTCATTCAGACCAACAGTGTTGTTCATTATGGCTTTCATACATCTGATACACTCACATTGGATCTTTTCATACTGTTTATCGCTGGAAAGAAAATTTTAATTAAATTCTTAAATTCATTCATGTCCTTTATGTGATATATTTTATCTAATATGTAGCAAAAAAATATTCAATATACTTAAGAGTTGAATAAGTTTTTCTAAATTTGACTTACTTTGTCGAATAACATCTGTTAAGTGTATACAAGACTGCTTTAAGACCATCGCTTCCAAACTCCTGGACCCAGCTAACTGGGTTATTTGTTAGAGCTATCCTCAGCGATTCAATACAACTGTTCAATTTATTATAGCTTAAGTCACTAATATAAAGGTAACGAATGAAATCTGAAGGTTTTTCCAAATTATTTCGGTCCTAGAATGAAATTACTAATTAAATTATAGTTTAACTGTAAAGTTTATAAGGGACATTTACCTTGAAATGATTTATAATCATTCTCTGTTTTGTCCTTAAAGGAAGAGATCTCAAAGGTTCCTTTTTTTCTTCAGATAAATTCATATCGTTCTGGAACAAGAAACAATTATTGAGTCGGGGGCTTGTAAATATTTGAGAATAAAAGCTACGTACCAGTAGCTCCTCCAGCTTGTTGTTAAGGGCTACTTCATCCAAGTTGGTGATGAACCTCTCCGCTTCTATGAACTTGTCCTGATCATTGAAGTCCCCATCAGAGTGGGGGCGAGGCCTGTAGCCTGCGCCCCCTCTCCCACCATCCTTTTTCGACGGCCTACTGAAAAATAGGCCGTCCAACTAGTAAATCAGAAAAAAATTAACTATTTTTCTTCACATCTTTACATAAAATAAGTTTTTTCTTAAAACTATTGGAAGATGAGGAAGTAGAAGTATTAAATATAGAAAACTTATCCTATTTAATTACACTTTAACTGATATTAAATATATTTCATTGAATAACGGCCTGTTGATGAACCTACAGCATGATAAACTCTTGGTCATTCTATTCCATCTATTCTTGCTGGATTAGGTCAGTCTGTGAAGTTGGTGAAATGTCATAATATAAAATGCAAGACAAACAAGAATACCAAACTGCTGGCAGGACCTGTACAATTTCATGACAAGTAGTATACAGTCCAAAAAATATTTTTATAACAGAAAGTAGGGCAGAAAGTGAGAAGCTATAACTAAGATATAACTATCATTGGACACGGATACATCCAACAATCTCACAAGACCTGAAAGATAAGAACGTTTATGCATAGAAAAAACTCAAAATTTCAAAGACCCAATGGAAATGTGTGAATGTAGGAAATGTCAATGAACAAATGAACAGATTCTGCATAGGACAGCACATACAGAACAGAGAATAACACTTCTTAAATTTTACAATCTAGTACAATTTGAATAATTAGAAGAGCAAACTGAGCTAAGCCAAAATAATTAATTTGAGGGGTGAGATTGTTTGATTAATCCACATATATTTTTTTTATATTAATTAATTTACACCTGCATCAATTACAACCTTATTCCTGACTATCAGTTTAGGTTCAGCCATTCTCATTCCACTAGTCACAGCGCCATCACATTGTAGATATCAATGCTACCACTTTTGAGCAAAAGGAGTGCTGCATTGTCGTATTCCAAGATGTGAAGCAAAGCTTCCATAGGGTATAGCACTCAGGACTGCTCTGGGAGCATAAGAGAGTTTACAAACTACTTAATCCAACTTAACTGACTGTTAGGTTAAAGTGGTTCACTTATGAGACGTTGATGATACCATCATCCTTCACATTCATAAAGATCTTGCAATCTCACCTAGAAACTTGCAAATCCATATCACAACTCTTGAATTCAAATGGTGGAAAATGACAACAAACATACAGAAATTTGTGTCAATTTCAACTTCTGAAGAATAATCACTGCTCTCATCTATTACAATAGAACACCCTCACACCAGCTAGTGTAGTCCATTTCCTTTGGCTCTACATCGACAAATAACTTACTTGGAACCCACTCAAATGTCGATAACTTAGTAGATGCTTCAGACTTTTAAAAAACTGCAGGAACATTTATACCACTTTCTAAGACCCATTTGGACAATCAGCACCAAAATTTGGGGGTTCGACATTCCAACCTCCAACAAATCTAACCCTTACAATTCAAAATCCTCTGTACCATCATCAATGCTCTTTTCTATGCATCCAATATTACCACTCACAATGACTTTATTATATGCCCCTGAAATATCCAAAAACGGCTACAGAAGTTAACAAACAACTATCTTGACACAGAAATCTTTCATCCTGCACTTCCAAGTAATCCTCTCTGACAACTGAAGCCACTTGATCTCGCGACTCCCTAAGTGATAGTGCACTCACTAGTGTGTTTGACATATTTTCCTAATTTTATTGTTAATGAATTTAGCTGACATTCGATCTCATTACATAATTGTTTACTAGAAACAAGATCTTATAAGAAATCCTGTCCTAACTTTTTTGAAAAAATAATAAATTGTTTTTTCTTATCTTTTAACTTGAACTTTAAAGAGGGCAATATTTTTTTAATAAAAGCTTTATACTTAATAAGCTGCTGTCCAGTTAAACTGTATCTTAAATTATTACCATGCAAAGAATATTCTTGACCTTTGTAAAGTTTCTAAACATTTAGATGAAAAATCTATTATGAATCCTCATGAGGAAATCTGGACTTTTTGGTGGGTGGGGTTGGAGAGGATTTCCCTATTGCTAATTATTCATTGATCAATGTACAAGTGATTTCATGTTAGAATTTACTTTTATCTTTAATTCCAAGGTAGATAAATCTTTTATGGGAACCTTGTCACAATCGTCATTCGTTTCCTTAATAATAAGAAGTTTGAACGAACAGAAATGGAATTCAATATCTGTTCAATATAGAAATTTTATAACTCAGGCTTAAAATCAAGGCTCCGACCTCACACTGTGATCATGAGACAGCAAGGCTGTTTTTCTCTCTCTAAAAATAAATTGGGAGTCGCTGTAAATTTGCCCTAGAATCAGCCACCTTGCAGACAGAAATAATAATTATTTTTCAACTGTGTAGATTTGTAAAAAAATATTCAAACCTCAATATCAGCCTTTACTGAGGCTATTAGTAAATACACTTTGCTTGAGACCATTTATAGTAGTTAGAACAAAAACTAATAGTAAAAAAAAAAAATAATAATTTCATGTCAGAAATTGCAATAATAATAAAAATGTAATTTCCTAAAGATAAGATGTGATAAGTCCACTGAATCAACATTGAATTTTTTTATGTCTATACATATTGATGTTTACTGATTAAACAAACAAATACCATGATGAACTTTTTTATCGCAATAACTGCCCGATTTGGGTCAATTTCTTAAAGATTATTTATCTATGTTACTTCAAGTTTTCTCATTACACCTGTAACTTGATTATTTGTTTTGCATTTTGTGTTTGCAAACTTTAACCACTTGTCAGTAATATGAGAAGCTTTGTTTTATCTCACGGTTTGATGAGTAAGGATGGTATCAAGTTTTGTGCGTCACATGTTAAAAAGAATTAAATAACTATCAACAACAATTTCCCTACAAACGTAAATAATAAAATTCTGTTTTTTATTTAGAATTGACAGACTTGAAAACAAATGAGAACGTTTTTTTTTTTTTTTTTTTTTTTTTTTTTTTTTTTTTTTTTTTTTTTTAAGAGAAGCCATATAAACAAATGTTCTGATAATAAGATGAGCTAAAATTTCTTATCAAGGCTAAAAAACGCTATCTACTCATTCATAAGTGGGTATAAATCAATTAAATTGATTACATTTTTACACAAAGAATGTGAAATAATAATTTAAAAAAATACAAAAATATTAAAAATTAAAAAATGGCATCTATATTGTAAAAATAGATATGAATGTGAATTAGAGGATTTAATATTTATCATTCAGCAAGTTGCTGAAAGTGACAAGACTGACAATTTCATCATATTTCCATAAAAATGTTTTATGACAAATCATTCAAGATTTGTACATTATACTTCAACAGAATTTTTTTTTTTTAAACTAAGTTGGTCATATTAAGATCAAGACATATTGTTTACAAATAAAATCCAGCAGTTTGATGGAAAATGTTTCAATTGTCTTTTATACGCATTTAATGATCTATAATAGGGGAGCAATTAAACAGAACAATTAAAAAAGTCTAGCAGCCCCGGGGGAAGGTCACTGGATGAAATAGAATGAAGTCATGAGTCCACCCTTGAGCTATTTTCCTTTTATGAGACATAAGGTGGCAACCTTCAACAGAAAACCACTCCATTTGTAATGGTCTCAAATGGTGGGCAAAATAATGTAAAAGACGACAAACCTAATCTTGACAGATACGCTTATCTACATTTCAAAAAACCTTTTTATCAAAGTTATTGCAAAACAAAAAGTAATAAAAAATCTTAATTGGACAATACCTTTAAACAATTTAAAAAAAGGAATATGTTATTTAAAAACACATCGGAATGTTATTTAGTAACATGTTTTTTTTAATCATGACCCAACTATTTTGTTGTTATGCAAACATTAGAAATGCAATTTGGATCATTGCCCTGATCGCGTAATCTTTGAAGCAGGAAACAGATAACTGAATCTACATTCTTGCAAGTAAAATATATTTTAAGAATATAAACTACTTTCAACGTGAAAAAAAATTCAGTTCATCGCCTTCAATTATGCAAATTATTCAATTACATTGGGAAAAGGTTTGAGTAAGAATTAGCAGATATCTTATGGGTGTGGTTTATAGGTGGTTTACTAAACAATCGCTAGCATTACTCGACACTAAAAAAAAACCGTGCTAAGATAAGCAGTGTAATTACCAAAAGGGAAAATTCCGGAAATTTTACATGAAATTATAGCTCGATAATCAATTTGTAGTGTACAATTAAGATTGTTTTTAAGTGACACATTGTCTAAAAGTAGTTTATTTGTAATTCCAATTTGTTTAGGTTTTTTTTTAAATTTTATTGTTAAATGTACGTAAGTCTGTATTTTGTTGTTATTCCATTATTATAGAAGTATTTTATTTAGTTTTTACATGGAGGGCTATAATATTACAAGAAAAAATAAATGTGCTGATCACTTGATCACAACATGGCTAAAGTTCAGCATCTGACATTTCATATGCTCGCTAGTGTTTATTCGAGTCGCTACATTTAGCCTGAAACATAAAAAAAGGGACATTTCGAAAAGGAAGCATTTGAAATTAAAATGTTAAATGATAAGAACTTTTTGTTAAGAACAAGGTAACTAATAAATAATCTGACACAGAGGATGTAGAGTTCTTGCTAAATTTTGTAAGAACAAGCAAATAAATAAAACTAAAACTTTAAATAGTTTTTACTTTGTTTAAAAAGTTGTTTGTTGTTGTAAGTTTGTTGTAAGTTGTTTAACTTTGTTTTATTTGTTAGTTTTTACTTAGTATATGATTTTTTTTTTTAGTTATTTAAATCCAACATATCAAATTTTTACCTATTAGATATTTATTTGTAATTTGACCCTTATTGATCTCTTGGTCCTTATACTTACTGTGTTGGTCTGTCAGATGCCTTTTCAGCATTTCACCGTCTTCAGTCTGTTTAGTTCGTGAGACACACAGAAGATAATGAAATTCTGAAACTGACCCGACAGAGAACCCAGAGAGAAAATCATACCAAGGTGATCAGTAAGGAACAAACAACAGGTTCATTGACTCACAAGATGAAAATCTCACTTTATATTTAATTACTAAGTAATATATTACCACAATTTTTAACAACAATAAGCATATCATTTTCTATAATTATCATCACTGTTTCTTCTGAAATTATCGAGTACGACACAGAAACGTTCATTGCACACGTCAACAAGAATCTCACAATTAATCATTTTCTGTGTTTTATTAAAAAATGCTAAACACTCGAGAGTTATTCAGTGATTCTGTCAGGAATATGAAATTTTGTTATCGTATGGGAACACTTGACTATGGCTGATCAGAAAGGCTAAAAATTATTGATGAGCAGCAACTGAGACTTGCCAAACCTGCTCAGAGCTCCCAAACTCAAAATCTTTTAATTAACTGCCCGGAATTACTTTTATAATATGGTAAGTGAAAAAAAAGATGAGTACTGCATAATCACTTGCGATGAAAGATGTGACATGTACAATAATTTTAACTGGTCATATCAATAGCATTCCTGTGATAAAGAAAAGGAAATTTCCCTCTTGATCTCCATATGAAAATTTTTACTCAATTTCTGAATTGACATAAACAGCTTCAGGTCAAACTAATACAGGAGAGAACACACTGACATCTTGGACCGGTGTCATTTAAAATTTAAACACTTTCATAGACTTTGTTGATTCAACTTGCCCAGTGATTCTAAAACATCGCCTGCAAACCTCAAAAATAAGTAGACATTGGATGGAAAACTTTGTCGAATCCTCCATACTCTCCAACCATATCTCCATACAAAAACAGTTTTACTCAATTTTTGAATTGCCAAAAAAATAGTGCTCTATGAATTTTAGCTTTCAGGTCAAATTAATACAGGAGAGGCCTACTGTCATCTTAGACTGGTGTCATTTAAAATTTAAACGTTTTCATACAGGCTTTGTCGATCAAACTTGCCCACTGATTCTGAAGTATCGCTCACAAACCTCAAAAATAAGTGGACATTGGATAGAAAACTTTCAAATCCTCCACTCTCCATCCATGTCACCATACAAAAAGTTTTATTCAATTTCTGAATTGCAAAAAACATAGTGCATTATGGACTTTTGCTTTCAGATCAAACCACTCCAGAAGCCTACTGTCATCTTAGACCGGTGTCATTTAAAATTTAAACGTTTTCATACAGCCTTTGTTGATCGAACTTTCCCACTGAATCTAAAGTATCGCTCGCAAACCTCAAAAATAGACATTGGTTGGAAACTTTGTCCCATACTCCGTACAAAAACAGTTTTATTCAATTTCTTTGCCAAAAACATAGCGACTATGAACTTTTTATGACTTTCAAAACGGAATTGTTGACTTTCTTCTAGTTGGAAGAGGGAAATTATAGTCAACAGATTTCATTCTATCAATGTATCAACTTCAAAAAAGCAACAGGACTTGGAATCAAAACTTTTTTGGCGGGATAAAGTTGGCTCGTTTCACCGGGGGCTATTAGAGAAATTTATCGCAGACACTCGTCGGTTGTGTAAACAACAGACATAAATTTCGTTGACCTTCTAAAATCCTATCGCACGACTTGCAAAATTATTACAAAAAAAAAAATTAAAAATAGAATATACTTACAAAACTTGGTGCTTTATTTTTCTCATGTCTTGACATGGTGGTTGGAACATCAGTGAATCTTGGAGTCGACGGTTGTGAGGGATGCTCGACGAAACAGAGACACTCAACACAAAACTCAAAACAAAACGGCTAAAGATCGGCCACACTCGTGCGATTTAAAGTCAAATTAGATCCAAATATCGGGAAATTGGCTGGGTGAGAGTAAACAAATGGGGCGAGACCGGAGGGGAAACGTGGCAGTCGCGGGCAGGCGTTTTCCCTCTGCGATGATTCCTGCCTAGGATCAAAGGCTCCGCGTCGATCCGCGATGATGAGTCGTTCTACGGAAAAATTCTTTTGTCGACTGATCTCGCTGGTCGTTCATCTTCCCGCTGGTCGAATACGATCCGACTCGTCTACTGTCTTCACTCTTCTGGGTATAGTACTTGTACTGGCCACCGGGACGTGCCGTTCGACTAACGGTCTCAAGTCGGTGATGTAATCCCTTCTTTTAGAAAATCCCCATCATCGCAGCATCCAACTTTACGATTAATTTAACAAAAAAATCTCTTAGCGTTTTCATTTATTTTAAATTAAACTATCTCTCTTTTTGTATTTTTATCCCTTCAACGTTCTATGTTAAATGTTTGAATCGATTTTTAATCTAAACATTACGCATCGATCTTTTTCAGTCACTTCCACACCATTTAATAAAATCCTTTTCCTAAACTATTTCAATTGAAAAATCTAACGCCCGAAAGTCTCCAATTTTATGATCAATTGCCAAAATGATAGATTTCTCTTTCAAAAATAATGACCAAAACGATAAAATTATTTGTGGGCTTCATCAAAACTTTTTACTTTTCCTTAAATATATTTAAACATTTTTTTAAAAATATTGATCATAGCAATGGCATTTGATTTCTTTATATATTTTTGTTGTTTTCATTAAATTTTTATCATTCCTTGTCACCTCATTTATATTTGTTTATATATTTCTGCTGTTTAATTAAATTTTTATATTCCTTCTCACTTTTTTTAAATATTTTTCTACACATGTGTATTATGACACGATATTTACAATATTTTATTTATTATGATATCCATATTTTTAATTATTGTAATATGTATATTTATGTTTCTATTATTCATTATTACCTATGTATAGTATATAGAACTTGTAACTGGGTATATTTGCTAGTATAAATAAATGGAAAAGCACGAAGACTTATACTTCAGAAATATATGATGTTGAGAAAGGTCGTTTCCTATCAACATGATGTCTGTAGATATGGCAAAGAGGCAGAGAAATTGACATACATACGACAGACTGCACAACTACATGCATAAACAGGAGATTATGTTCTGAAAACAAAATTCTTGCTCTAGAGATTTCTCAAGGGATACAACTAATACACTATACTAACAGATTGCACTCCTTCTTCAACAGATAAATTTTGGATAAAAATCTTGCAAAAGAAAACGTACCATGAACTAAATGCTGAACAATCTCAAGGCGCATACACACTAAGCAAATCTCAGCCAACGAAAGAGAACAAATATATCAGGATGAACATTGGTCGCCAAAACGTTGGCCATCCTTGGCTTACCCTCATCAAATCAAAGGGTTGGGGCCAAAGGATTCAGCCGTGTGGAATCACAGTTAACAAGTCTTAACCTCGACCAAGGCCAACTGCTTCATTTACTTAGTGTGTATGTGCCTTTAAGGATGCAACAAGTTGTTTCCTAACATATTTGTAAATTTAATGGAAAGAAAAGGAAAACTTGTCTTCTTATTAAATGAGAATTGAAAATGATTGTTTTCATGCAGATTCTGCAAAGAAGCAGAACAGCCCTTGGCATGTCAAAAACCTTCAAAAAGAAATAAAACACTTTGAATTAAAAATTCTTGTAATAAGACAAACTGCAATGGCCTATGCTATGGAGATCTCTCTTCTCATTTTTAAACATTTGGAGGGAAACTTGATGGACATCTGAGAAAAATTGGTTTCAATCAACACAGTGTCTGTAGCTTCTGTGGAAGCAAAGAAGGAAAGAAGCAGAAAAATTGACATAACTGCAACATAATGCACAACTCCATGTGTTGACAGGAGAATACGTTTGAAAAACATAAATTTCTTGCTCTACAAATCTCTTATGGACACAATCAATCTAAGAGGCTCCAACTTTGGAAGCTTGAAGGGAAAGCAAAAAGAAACTTGTGAACCAACTGTTTTAATCAACACAGTGTTTGTAGGCAAAAGAAACCATGAAACATTTTCTAACAATAACAATAACACAATTCTATAGGAGGAAATTTTTTGTAACAAAATTCTTGCTCTGGATTCCTGAAAATGGATCTCACGAAATACAACCCCTCTGAAAGCCTATTTCTATAATATGGACATTTGAAGGACAATAAAAAGAAACCTGCAAGCTGACTGGATGTACATACATGTACAATAAATAAATTCATCTAAATTTTGATTTAAACTTCTTATGTTAAAATTTAAACTTTTCAAATTAAAATTAGACAAATAGCAATCAGGTATTTCAGAAAAATCACAAAAGGAATCATCTTTCTTCATAACCATAAACTTGCATTATTTTCAGGACCACACAATACAAGGCCATAAACATGATAAATAGAAATGATTTTTAAAAAGATTGATACAAGGCTATTTTCAAACGTGTAAAACACGCCCTGATAAATCTAATCGCAGACTGTACTGCTATACTTTTCAACAGAAAAAAAATGTTTTGAGATAAAAATTTTTCACAAATGTGTGGTAATTAGTGACCGTTACTCGATGATAATTCGAAAATCGTGAGATGCGGTCTGGTGATGTAGGTTTCAGAAAAACATTTTCTTTATCCTGCCAACGTTTCAATCTTTATTGAGATCATCTTCTGGGCCTGGGATTTACAAACATTGTTTACATTTAACAAATACATTTAGGATGTGGAAAAATGAATTTATACAATGCAAAATATATTTTTTATATTCAATCAAAGTATATGAAGCAAAAAATATTTTTTCACAAAACTACGTGCAATGAAAAAATAATACAATTCTTCAGAAATGTTGTTAATTTGTTAACAAGTTTTTTTAAATACAATTTATTTTATATATTGCTATCTGTACAAAATATACATTGGGCAAATAATTTGTTGAAGTCATGAGGAGCGGTCAAGAAAGAGGTAGTTTAGAAAAACACTTTTTTAATTTTTTTTCCCAGATATTTCAACCTTTATTTGGGTCATCTTCAGGGCATAAAGTGCGGTGCTAGTCATATGGTGTACAATATTGGTGTTGTGTGAAATTGTTACCTACAATAGGATTGTGTTTAGGAGGATTGTAAAGCGGCCCATACACGCTCAATATTATTACACAATATTTTGATGGAGGCCCTACACTGCTCAATATTATTGCGCAATATTTTGATTTGTGCAATAAATTGTATCGTATGCAGGCAATATTGATGGTTGTGCAATATATTGCACTATCGCGAGCACAGACGTACAACCTTCAAGGCAATATATTGTGCAATTAGTTCCAACCAGAATTTCATGTAGTGAAGTCATGTTGAGTGATAGTGATGTGTGTTGTGTGATTATCGCTGTGGGTGCCAGTGCGAAAAAGAAGAAGAGCTCGCAAAAAGGCAGAAAATGGACCAAACAGTGGCTAATTGATAGGGAAAAGTACACCCACGAAAAATTACTTAATGAACTGAGAGGGTCTGAACCAGATGACTTTCGCAACTTTTTACGGATGAACGGCGAAATATCCCACAGAGCTGGAAGGCCACGATAAACGTCAATCAATTCGAAAATGAATTGCCTATCAGCTTCCTTGGCAGCCTTGACGACGCGACTCTACCACGTGTTGATACTGACTGCTGGGATATTGCCTACAGACGGCACAACTTTTTCCCGTTTGCACAATATATTTTCAATTTAGCACAATATATTGCACAACCTTTCAATTTCGACTACACACGATCAACTGTATTGCACAAACCTAAATATTGCGCAATAATATTGAGCGTGTATGGGCCCCTTAAGGGTGAGGCGTTGAGTTACGAGTTAGGGCTAGTGGGTTAAGTGGAAGGATAGTTTAGAGTGAAAACTGGGTGTTCAGATAAGATCCTTCACGAAAGGGATTTCAATATCTTTATGGATAGTTTGATTGGTGACATAGAAAGGAGCATTGAGGATACGGCGGAGAGCTTTAGATTGAAAAGATTCAATTCGTCAGATGTTGGATGATTTGGCCGAGCTCCACAGCTCGCCTACGTAGGTCCAAATAGGTCTGATGAGTGTTTTGTAAGCCGTTAGTTTGTTATGTACGTTTAGTGTTAATTTCGGGCCAGTGGGTTTCTGAGTCGTCTTTTGTTAAGTTCTTGACGTTTTAATCTTGTATGTGGGTTCTATGTAAGTCTGCTATCTAAGTAAAGCCCAAGGTAGCGGACTTGGTTCGATGGTGCTTTGGCGGGCAGGCTTGACGTTCGAGCATAAATTTGATGGATTTTTTTGTTCGTTCAACCTCATGCGCCACAGATTAACAAATTAGTCATTTTTGTTAAATCTTGTATCGATACTGGTACTTTTAGTTCGATATCCCGGTATCTCGTGTCTAATCGAGATCGATAGACAACCGTTTCTCCGGTGTTTTGATTTTTGCAGATCACTCTTTTTTTGTGTTTTTCGTCGGCTGTTCTTGACTATTAGTTTATTTTCCATCCCGTTTCATCTGCTCAGGTGGAAAGTGGGGCCGTCTTTTCTATCCATATACGAGGTCGGTTCTTCTGCTCGTATTCGTCACCGCGGCGATTTTTGCCGGAGCTTTCACTAAAACTTTCCAAAAAGATTTCTATTTTCTTCTCTTCATGGCTTCCAAGGGGAACAAAAAGAGGTTCTTCAGGCAGGACAGCGCGTACGATCTGAGCGCGGTGATGGATCGAGGTTTGACCGCCAGCCAGGGCAACAAGTGGGCCTTCGAGTGCGCCTGGGAGGTGGCCAACAAAGGTCTGATTCACAAAAGAAAAACAACCTTTTTACAGGGTTTTGAGTGTTCTTAATTTTTTTAACAATAATTTCCTAGTCAATTTTATCATTTAATTGGGGAAAAAGAAAAAAAAAATGATATGAAAGAACTAGTTAAAATATAAAAATATACAAACATTTTTAATAAAATAATCCAAGTATATTTTCCTATATAGCCTCAAAAGAAGTTGAAAAATAAAAGACAGTTAAATTCAAAGAATAAGGATTTAACAAGGGTCCTCTTTGATCCTCTCATTGTGCTCTTGGGGTGTCTCAGCAAAACTACCCAGACACATAAGCCTGGAGTGTATTGAAAAAGCAAATGAGGCGGCTAACGCTGGGATGTCCCATCCTCCACCTTAACTACTCCGGCCGGATCGGGCCCCTGATGCAAAAAAATTCAATAAAAACACAATTAAAAAAAAAAAATGGCAGCGTCTAGGGGCCTTGTATATCTAGAGCACTGTCGATACATGGTCCTCGGAGGACAGTTTGTAGAAGGGTCATCCTCACCCTATTAAGAATAGGCCTTGCGATGTTGACACACGGACACTTACTTTTGAACAGAGACAGCATATGTGTTTGGCATGTAGAGAAAGGTTGCTCATGTTTCATAAAATATAAATTTGTTGAAGTTTTGAGAAGAGTTTGCTGAATTTACGACCTTTATTCAGGTCAACTACAAGAATAGCACCACACTTTATGGCCTGAATCAAGGTCGAAATGAAAAAAATGAAAAAGGCGTTTTTCTAAATTACCTCATTCTTGACCGCTCCTCATGACTTCAGCAAATTATGAAACAACAGGTCACTAAATATAAAGGAGAAGAAACTGAATTGTCTCACTATAAAGCGAGCTTCTAGTAATACCACCCAATATGAGAATTGGACGAGGCAGCGTGTATCTGGGTCCCCTTTTCCGTTTCTTGGAGGAAACAGGGTTGTTTTTATTGTATATAGAAATGTGATCTGATTGTGTTTTGGGCTGAAATGATCTAGTCTCTGGAACCTAACCCCAGTGGTTAGGCGGATAAGACTGAGATCTGATAACGGACTGCCAACACCTTAGGTGGGTACTTGAGGCTTGCTGTAATTTATTGTAAATTACAAAAGGAATTGCTGGTGGACTGCGGGAATTAATAAGCTGTACTCACACTTTGAATTTATATAACTCAGTAATCAGTAATCCTTATTAACCATCCCCTAGTACTTATCGTTACTACATGATCTGCGAGACCACCTGATTTTGATTCAGATTGATCTATTATCTTTTAGCAGATTCAATCAGAGATTCTGAACCAATGATGTCTTCTTAATTCAATGACTTGTTCAGCTGTATTCGGCAAAAAATGAAAAAGGTGTTTTTCTAAACTACCTTCTTGACCGCTCCTCACAACTTCAAAAAAGTATAATAAATAATTCACTGTATGCTATATTGTATTTCTCAAGTGTTAATGTTTATTCCGTTCTGTACTTTGTGAACCTTATGAGTTGAAATGAAAAAAAAAGAAGAGAATAAATAAATATTTTTATTCCACCGTCTTATTGCACGTTAGTTTTTCCTTTTTCAGGGGAACCACTTTAGATGAGATGATGTATCGACCTGCTTGTTGAACAACTTGAACAAAAGGATCTTCAGTAAGGTCACAACAGAAACGACAATTCTTTAAGTTTTTGCTGAGCTTTTGACGATTATATTGTCATCATCAGGGCTTTAACTCTATGAGTGTTGAAGTATATCTGGAGAGAAAGAAACTGAATTTATCATAAGATTAATTAAAATTAGTTGAAGCTCAGTATCTTGGTTACCCATAATTATAACTACATGTCTCTTTTTCTTAAAATAAATAATAAAATTATTTTTTTCCTCAGGTACATTAGAATATCACAGTTAAAATTCTAGGCTTTTTTAAATTGTACTATATATAGATAACTCGAAAATAAAAGTGCTAACTTCTACCTCAAGGGAGAGACATGAGGCTCAGGTGGCTTTTCCGTTACAAGTATATATATAATATAATTGTCGAAAGCTCGGAAAAAACTTAAAGAATTGTCGTTACTATTGTGATCTCACTGAAGATCCTTTTGTTCAAGTCACTTTTTATATATTTTTGTCCAACTATCCAATCCATCCTAGTTAAACTTCCAGGCTTCACCCCAATCTTAATTTTGATATGTGTCATCTTTTGCAGACATTTTATCATATTGTTTTCTATAAGATTATGACTTACATACATAAATTGTTTAAATAAAAATGATTGTTTGTATTCAATCTGTGTTGATTAAAGAAAATTATATAATTAGAATAAGATAGAAATGATTTTTTTCTTGTGAGTTTGTTTTTAACTAAAAAGTCCAAACAGTATTTTTACTAGCACAGACATTTTTCATTTTTGTTCCAGTCGGTGGTATTTATACAGTCATTAGATCCAAAGCTTTTGTCTCAACTGAAGAATTCGGTGACCAGTACTGTCTGCTTGGACCGTACAAGGAGGCCTGTGCTAAAACTGAAGTAGAAGAAGAAGAATTTATATACGGTACTCCATTGCAAATTGCAGTTTCGCGTATGCGAGACTCAGGCTTTCAAGTAAATTGTTTCATATACTGTTGAAATAGTGTAGAAATAAAGTGAAGCTTTGTTTTCCAGCTCCGTACTGGTACATGGCTTGTTGACGGCAATCCTCAGGTCATACTTTTTGACATAGGCAGTTCAGCTTGGAAGCTTGATGAGTACAGGCAGGAGCTTTGGGACAGCAGCAACATCGGGATTCCGCACGCTGACATCGAGACGAACGACGCAGTAATACTCGGATATTTAGTTGCGACATTTATAAACGAGGTAAAATGGCATTATACTGTATGAGTGTGGATTATTGAAAAATGATGTTAGTTCAAGAGGGCAGCTGAAGAAGTGAGTTGCAGTCAACCAAAAATTTTGGCTCACTTTCACGAATGGCAAGCTGGAGTTGGTCTCATCGCGCTCAGGACCCGGAAAATTGAAGTGGCCACCATTTTCACAACACATGCTACATTACTTGGAAGGTACCTTTGCGCTGGGAAAATTGATTTCTACAACAATCTTAGTTCTGTTAGTATGTTTATTTTTTTAAAAATATTTTTTTAATCTGATGGTGATCATCATCATTCAACTTCAAGAAATTCAACCAAATTTTACATCATGAATAAGTGCTAAAATAAACTTGTGAATTATTTTGGTAAATAGAGTGGGTAAATTGAGCAGGGAGGGTTAAATTAATTATATTAGAAAAATGTAATTGTATTGTAATTTTTAGACATACAGTAGATCATCGTTATAACAAATTAATATGTATTAGGACTACCCAAAAGTTGTTGTAATAAATCTGGTTTATAACAACCATTTTTTTAGAGGTGTAATGTCATCATTTGTAAAAAAAAATTCTACTGTGTTTGTTTGCTGCTTAGTTCTCTAGTTAAACATCTTAATTTTCCAATTGTTCATCATATTCAATAACACAATTTAAATAATTTTTCTAATAGTTTAATCAATTTGTCAAAAATATACCCCCCTTTTTTTTGTATTAATTTTTTAAATTGTTCATACGAATTACAGCCTATTCTACTGTGTTAATGAGTTTCTCACAATTGATTTGTATGTTTAGTTTAATGTCGATGAGGAAGCTGGGAAAAGGTACATATATCACCGGTATTGTTTAGAAAGAGCAGGGGCTCATCTGGCCCACACTTTTACAACCGTGTCCGACATTACAAGCTTGGAAGCCGAGCACCTGCTTCACAAAACTCCTGACATAATCACGCCGAATGGGCTCAACATCAAGAAATTCTCTGCCTTGCACGAATTCCAGAATCTACATGCACTCTCGAAGGAGAAGATAAATGAATTCGTTCGTGGGCACTTTTACGGGTAAAATGTTTCTCTTATATGCACAACCACGCCTATAGCATTTCACTCAATCTAAATTTCAGACATTATGACTTTGATCTGGATAAAACATTGTATTTTTTTACTGCCGGTCGTTATGAATTTAATAACAAGGGGGCAGACATTTACATTGAAAGTCTGGCCCGGTTGAACCATTATCTAAAGGTATAAATATTGATTCGACTCTAACAAACGCATGGGCCAACTAACAAAACAGTTCAGTTATTGAACACACACAGAACTCGGTGGAGGTACATTTTGCTTTTAACTCTGTCATTTAGCATGTTTATTTTCTTTCATTTTCAGGAATCTCATTCAGAGGTAACTGTAGTGGCTTTCCTTATATTTCCAACAAAAACAAACAATTTCAATGTCGAAAGTCTTAGAGGAAGTGCTGTCACAAAAAGCTTGAGAGAAACTCTCCTTGACATCCAATCTAAAATAGGAAAAAGAATGTATGAAATATGTTTAAGGTATAAAATCTTTCCTGTAATAATTTATCACAGATTTCTAAAAAGTTAAAAAACACTTATTAGTGGTCGGATGCCTGATGAGAGTGAACTGTTAACAAAAGATGATAAGATGAGAATGAAAAGGTGCGTATTTGCGATTCAGAGACATGGCTTGCCTCCTATTACCACCCACAATATTGTGGACGACTGGAATGACCCCATACTGAATGCTGTGAGGCGTTGCCAGCTGTTTAACACCGTCAATGACCGAGTCAAGGTTACAAAAATTCTTAAACGATTTTCAAAAACTCCATGAGATTTTGTTTCAGATTGTGTTCCATCCAGAATTTTTAAGCTCAACCAATCCACTGTTTGGCCTGGACTATGAGGAGTTTGTCCGTGGGTGTCATTTGGGAGTTTTCCCCAGTTACTATGAGCCATGGGGCTACACGCCTGCCGAGTGTACTGTTATGGGTATTCCTTCGATTACGACAAACCTCTCTGGTATGATATTATTTAATGGTATAATAAATACAATTGTCATTTTATGCTTGGCCATTTATGATAGTTTTGGTCTGCTTACTTTGCTGGTTTGGTCTACTAAATGAATTTCAGCTTTCAGCATCATCTTCAGTCATGGGTTTGTGGAGGCCCTGCAAAAAGGTCATTCACACAAGGAAGCACAATTTAATGAGTTTTGTCGAATCTACTATTAAAGACAAGAAAAGCAAGACTTTAATATTAAACATTTATTATTTTTTTATCAAGTTATTTTTAATTATACATATACTCAATTAATTGTACACAATTTATTCGAAATGAAAAATTTATGTCACAGGCAGGATTCAAACCCATGACTTTCGGCTAAATACACCGCTGCTCTACTACTAGAGCTAATGTGACTTCAAACACCCATGCCATAAACTTTTCATTTCGACTCACCCATTATTTCAATTGTAAGCAAATCGTGGCTTCATATAGAAACACATTTTATATTAGCGAGACTGTGTATGATCCACAGGTGTGGTTCTAGGTTAATACCAACTTTTATTAATTTTTATCAAGTTATTCTTAATTATATGTATACTCAATTAATCATACAAATTAAAAAATTTGGCACGATTTGCTGATAATTGGAATAAACGGTGAGTCGAAATGAGAAGTTTGTGGCATGAGGGACTGAAGTCACGGTAGTTCAAGTGGTAGAGCAGCGGCGTATTTAGCCAAAAGTCGTGGGTTCGAATCCTGTCTGTGACACAAATTTTTCATTTTAAAAAAATTGTGTATAATTAATTGACTATTTGTATAATACAATTAATTAAGGTTTTTAGTTGAGATAAAAAAGTCAATGGCACTAGCGGGATTTGAACCCACGATCTTCGGCTAGATATGCCGCTGCTCTACCAGTTGAGCTATCTCAACTAAAAACCTTAATTAATTAATTAACCAATATATTAATTGGTCAAGCGGACCACGAAATTAGTGAATTTAATGATTTAAAATGAAGTATACGTCACTAAAGCTCTCCGTGGCCATTTCATTTGTCGTCGAGAATCCAAACCGATTACACGACATTTGAAAAATGGCAAAAAGGAGGGAAAATACAAAAGGTGGGGTTGAGATGAGAAGTTAGTGTCCGAGTGGATCGAGGGCACAATAGCTCAAGTGGTAGAGCAGCGGCGTATCTAACCGAAGATCGTGGGTTCGAATCCCGCTCGTGCCATTGGCTTTTTTATCTCAACTAAAAACCTTAATTAATTGTAATATACTAATTGGTCAAGCAGTACACGAAATTAGTGAATTTATATGTATAATTAAGAATAACGATAAAAAATAATGAAATGTACTAATATAATAAATAATAATAAATATACTAATAATACTAACCTAGAATCACACCTGTAGATCTGTACATAGGCCCACTAATGTAGTACAATTGTTAATAAAATGTGTTTCTATGTGAAGCTGTGATTTGCTTATAATTGGAATAAATGGTGAATCGAAATGAGAAGTCTGTGTCATTTTGAAAAAAAATAGTGTATAATTAATTAAACATTTAACCAATATCTTGGTCATTTCCAATTATTTTTGTGCCTAGCCTCTATGAATTTGTCTATAAGATGCATTTCAAAATTTCACCATCGTCAGTGGTGGCTTAGGGTATAAGCAGGGAGATGCAAGGCTCTAAATAAAAAAGTAGTGCAAATTGTTCCCAGAGGGTTTCTTCTTCCCGCTCTGTTTATAAAACCCATCAACCATGTCTAAAAGAACACAGTAGTGAGGAAAGGCCGACCAAATTGATTGGAAAAGACCAAGTTTGTCACACTACAGGCCACAAGAGGAAATTGCACAATTTTATACACTCAAATACAAAAACCAGACACTTGTATTTATTTGTTTGTTTCCCATAACAACTAGGTATAAAGATTTACAGTTGGCTTAAAATATAAACAACATTATTAACTTGTTTTTTACCCTTTTTAGATTACAAATAAAGAAAATCAGTTAAATTTCAACCTTTCCAGAGCCAACTTGTCGATTGAGTTAATTGCTTTTTTTTTAAATGGTTTTCTTTGATGAAAAAATCAATTTCAGTACAAAATTAATTATTAATATTTTTCTTAAAAGTATGGTTTTAAGTCAAGATTTCATCCAGGCAAATAATTTGGCCAATGACAGATGTTAGTGTTCTTTACATTGCCCAAGTCCAGGGTGTGATGTGCTTTACAATCCACGATGGTCAGATGGAAGTCTTGATCAAAGAGAAGGTAGTGATCGACCACACGTGCGATAGCTAGAGATGACTGCTCACCAAACTATGGAACTATCGTTTAATGGCTTCCTTGAGAGGTAGTCAACTCAAATGGTTCGCAATGTAAGGGTGAGTTCTAATAAAGTCCTCAGAAGGCTTCATGAGAATAGCCGTCTCTAGACGTCTTCTAATACTGGAGAGGCGTTGAGTAGAAAGGCGATTATTCACAAATCAGCATTTCGCTTGGACCCTTGAACATTGGGGCGGCTGTTTACTTCACAGATGAGTGCCGGTTTAGATTGTGGCAGTCAGATGGCCAAGACCATGTATGGAAAAGACATAAAGAATGAATCTTTGCTTTATGTGTGGTGTTTAGAGATCATTAGTCAATGATTATTCAGAGATCGTGAGATGTGGTGTGGTGTGATGTAGGTTTTAGAAAAACATTTTCTTTATCATGTCAACGATTCAATCTTTATTGAGATCATCTTCAGGGCCTGGGATTTATAAACATTGTTTAAATTTGACAAATACATGTAGGTTGTGGGGAAAAAAATGAATGTATACAATGCTAGAAAATTTAACTTTGCTTTATGTGCCATGCGTGAGTTACAGCCTTTTCAAAGACAATATTTATGGTATGGGATGAAATCACCATCCATGCCCATACCGAACTGATTATAGAATGGACCGCACTAGGATATATCGAGGAAGTTTTTCTAGAAGCTGTGGTCCCATTCGCTCCATTTATTGGGGACAACTTTCTGTTGCAACGATAAAAATACATATACTTTGAAATAAAAAACAAAATATGAATGTCCAGTTTTTCTTTGATTATAATATTGTTAAACAATTATTTACTCAATATTAATAAAAAAATAACTCTGTAGATGTAGTTTGATCACCTGAACACTGAAATTCACAGTTTAAAAAATTTGTTCACTCCAAAAAACAAACAGGAATTCAAATAGTAATTCTTGATTTATTTTCAGGGTTTGGGTGTTTCATGGAGCAGCATATCCAGGATCCGTTGTCCTATGGGATCTACATTGTAGACAGGCGGTGGATTAGCGTTGAAGAGTCAGTCAAGCAGCTCGCCAAATACATGTACCACTTCACCAAGTTGAGCAGAAGGCAGAGGATCATTCAACGAAACAGGACAGAAAGGCTAAGCGACCTTTTAGACTGGCGGAGTCTAGGAATTGTATATGGAAACAATACACTGTCATTTTTAGAATTGGTTTAACCTTGTTTTCAAATTATTTGCAGTATTATCGTCAAGCAAGACATAAAGCGTTGCAGTCAGTTTACAATGACATACCATCTTTTGAGGAGGAGTTCAAAGGAAGGAATTTAAACTATCCACGCCCTTATTCAGAGCCGCCTTCACCATCGCAGAGCAAACATACAACTCCTTCTGGCTCCAGACAAGGAAGTGAAGATGAAGATGAAGTCGATGAAGAAAAAGAGGTGACAAAAAAATTATTATTTACAATTATATTTTTAACTTAAACTAAATTTTGTTTTAATGTTCCAGCTTGCAGAATTGCAATTACACCATTAAAACCTTTTAATGAGGATGTAGAGTGATTTATAATTTGTGTTAACACAATCCTACATGACAAAACTAAAAACTTTTCAAAGTAAAAAGAGTTCTTCCAGCTTGTATAGCTGATCAGTACAGCCATGATTCATTGTGCCATTGTAGTTTTTATGTAGTCAGTTTTGTATGCTTATACCTATAAAAGTTATTGTAAAATTTTTAATTTTGTTTTAATTTTAGATATTTTAAAAATACATCACAATAATTTCCACTTTATCTGAATGGAAAATTCAAAATATATTATTATGAATTGTTATAGGTTGTTATGTTTTGGAAAATTTAGTTTAATAAAGCAGATATTATATTCTGAACTCTTCTTTTCAAATGATAATAATTGTAACTTTCTTTTCCTGTGTTTATTCCTGTGTTAATTGACAACAAAGTTTTTGGGAACAAATAAAAATTAGCTTGGTAATTTCATTATTTTGGTTTTCAGCATGTTGCTATTTTCAATAGTGGGTTTGTGTGATTTTATTCTTTGACACATTGAGTAAGGCCATTTCAATTTTCACCCTCCTGGATGGCCAAAATTTCTTTTCCTAAAAATGTTTGGTTCTTTGTATTTGAAAACAAAGGATACTGCTGAAAGAGCAAAGTTAAACTGAAAGAAAATTTGTTGTGTTTTTTTGGCCTTCATGCTGGTCACCAGCACTATATGGGTTAATCGGGTTCTTTTAATCTGTGAAAGAAGGTGATTCCTACATTTCAAAGTGTGTCTGACATAACAAAACTGAGAATAGGCAGACAAAAATGATTAAAAATGGTGAAATTACATTATTAAAAAAAAAAAAATTGTACAAGGGGTAATAGTAATAGTCAAAAGATCATCTTATAAAGGATGAAAGATTTGCTATCACAAATCAATTGATTTTTAATTCAAGACATTGCAGAAATGCAATTCATGTTCCATATAGACATAGAGCATTTGGCTGAAATGCATTTATTTAGAGTCAATATTTTTTAGAATTTGTAACTTTTCAGTTAAACTGTCTTTTTGTCTTGTTTGCATTGGATTTCTGTTTGAATTGAGTCTTAATTAATGTTTTGGTCAGGCATCCCTATAGGGGTCCACGGTAGCTGAGTGGTTAGCATGATAGATTCTTGGCTATAATTATTTTTATTGTACAATTTGATTCAAGAGCTTATATGCCACTTTTACCGAAAGGAAAATTTTTGATAGGATCGAGCATTTCTGAGTTTGCCCGATGGAAGACGCACGAGGGTGTTTTTGTAACAAGATGGCCCACCTCCTTTATTTTGAAAATGATTAATTTCAACAAAAAATCATTTTCAGTAAAAATGGCATAAAATAAGCTCTAGAATTGAATTGTACAATAAAATATGGGATTATCATTTAAAATAACAAACTTAGTGTCAGTTCCCAGCTAGATGAGAAAGTTATGTTAAATCTGTTAACGCCATGCAATTCCTAAAGAAAATTAACTTTGGGTTTGTATAAGACCATTTTTTGCTCAATTTAATTGTTTACAAATTAAATGGGAGTACTATGGAAGTAGATACATACATATGTATTAAAAGAATGGAAAAAAAAAATAAGCAGAAAGGAAAATCAGAAACTCCATCACTTTTTGTTCATTTAGAACCGCATCTCACGATTTCTAAATAAATTAAGATTCACTTTGATTTGAATCCGGGAGCTTTACCTTACTCTGATGAGCGCCATGTCAATGGCTCAACTGTTGCAGCCTCTGATCCCCTTAAAAATATCTTTTTTTTTATCATAGCCTCACCCTCCCTGGCAGTTAAAGCCACATCTACGTAATAATTCAAGCAAAACCTATCACTGCGATTTTATTCATAGCTAAACTGTAAATTGTTAAAGTTCAATTTGACCATGTGGCTTTTTAATAATATTACGATAATAAAGTGCTGGGAAGAACATTCATTTTGACATTGTTTTTTTGGAAGATCTGTTCCCTTCTATTTATCAAAATTAGAAAATCCAGATACTTTATTAAGTACCATAAACCTAATAATATCACATTTAGATCTGTCCCCCGATGCAGAAAGTGGCAGCATTGATTGACAGAGAACCTCACACTGTAAAGAGCACTGTTGATTGGTGGCCCCTAGAAGACCTGACTCATGGAAGAGAGCTTCCTTCCCCTCTTAAGAATTTCACCATGTAAGGTTAACACATCGACCCTTACTTTTGGGCCAAAGCAGTTGGGCACATAGGAAAAGGTTGCTTGATGTGTCTTATGTAATTTAAGGGTGCAATTCCTTGGTTCCATACAGAGACTGAACTGCAGAATTGTGCTTGAGCACGGCAGTGAGCATTTGGGCCTCCTGTTCTGGATTTTGGAGGAAACGGGATTGTTTTATTATATAGTTCTGATAGTTTGTGTTGAGTTGTGATTGTATAGTGTGTGTTGAGGGTGATTGTATTTATTAGCATGAATGTGTAGTGTGAAAGGGTCGATGGTGGAACATTGACACCCCATCAACCCTCAATTAGGCTAGTGTATATAATAGGAATAAAGTGTAATAGAGAAATATCAAGTACTCCACCACCCTGAGTGAATGGTATGTATATAGGAAAGAATGTATTTAAGAGTGAGAGTGTGAGTGAACCAGCTGTTGTTGGCCCCTGGAGCCCAACTTCACTCGCTGGTAGGATAAGACTGAAATCTGCCAACTCTTGGGAAGGGTGATTTTTGAGGCCTGTTGGTAATTTATTGTAAATTACAAAAAAGCTGGAATTTCCATCAGGCTGTGAGAAGTGTTAGGTTCAGTAGCTAGCTAATACATCAGTAATCAATAATAACATCAAAAAGTTTTTCTTTCATATTTAAATCCCTTAAAAACAGCTGTGTATCATTAAGTTTATATATTAAAAATAGTTTATTTAGCTTAAATGGCTTCAAGTCTGTGAGTAATAATAATAATAATAATAATAATAATAATAATAATAATAATAATAATATATAAAGGAATCGCCAGGAATTTGTAATGCCATTTTTTTCTCTGATTCGAAAAGTGGTCTCGAAGCAATCAAAAATAATTTCTCGGTTGACCCTTACATCTTAGAAATTCACAAATATCTCTATGAAATCAGAACACTCAACAAACATGTGGTATTTGTTTGGGTTCCTAGTCATGTCGGCATTTCTGGAAATGAAAAAGCTGATCAACAGGCAAGGAACGCCACAAACCATCCTCAAAGAACAGATCAATTTCCTCTCCGTCAAGATGATATAGTCGTTTATGTTAAAAACATTATCAAATGAAAGTGGGCGGCAAGTTGGAATGTTTGTAGAGATAGTATGAAAGAAATTAAGCCAGTTGTACATAAATGGCCAACTGAGGAACTTGAGAGAAAAGAACTTGTGATTCTCTCTAGATTGCGAATAGGTCATATCAGGCTAATCCATAATAGGCTTTTGATAGGCAGCAACCTTCCAACTTGCCCTCGATGTATGCGAAGTGGAGAACGCATCATTTTGACAGTAAAACATATTTTGGTCGACTGCCCCACTTTACAACCCTTTAGGCAAAGGCTCAACCTTTCGAGTGATTTACAGGAGTTACTGGGTCCCCAGTGTTTCTTTCGAAGAGCACTTTTCAGCTTTCTCAAATTTATTGGAATTTATAATGAGATTTAGGCCTTTCCCCAAATTGTTATACCATTGAATGCCTGCTAATGTTTGAATGAGAGTTGCAAGATTTCTTTTTTCAGAAGTTTTTGAGGCTGCCGGAGCGGAAAAATGAAATGGAAGAAAATACAAATTGCAGGGTAATGAATTGCAATGCCTAAAATCGCAATTTAAATAAGAAAAATAGCTCCCTCAAAAAAAAAAAAAAAAGTGTTATTGTGTTTTGTTTCTTATTATTGTTATGTAGAATTAGTTTATGTATCATATTTGAATGGAAGAATAAAAGGATAAGGATGAGCCTATACTCATGCTGAGACTTGCTAGTCTGGAACAAAAATTCACAATTCTAATAAAAAAGAAACAAATAAATTTTATATGTAATTTAAAATGGGATTTTTGCATACATTTGGCCTTCCAAATTAAGAATTTTAAAAAGAAAAAAAAGAAAAATTAAAGCTTGGATGGCAATAGGATAAATTAGTTTACAATTGGAGTCAGAGCTTTATAGCACTCAGAAGAGATATAGCTAACCTAAGATAGAAGGTTTGGATGTTAGGGCGTGAAATGACCTTAGCCGTTAAAATGCCCTTAAAAAATTAATAATAATAGTAATAATAGAATAGAATAAAGATAATAAGATAATAATAATTAGATATGATAATAATAAAGATAATAAATAATAATAATAATTAATTTTAATTTACGGCATGGGGGGGTCTGTCTGCCAGAAGTCGATTTACATTTGATTTAAATTTTTGGTCGACACAGAGAAAAATGTACAAAAGAAAAAAAAATTGATCGTTAAATAAATATTACAATTGATAATTTAATTTTTAATAATTACATTAATTACTAACAAACATTATAAACCATAATTTTTAGTAATTTACACTATTAAAGTACCGGCTTAAATTACCAAACTAAATTATTATATTTATTACCAGTTTTGTCGTACCTGATCATTGTTTGCAAGATGATGAAATAACCATAAGTTGGCTCAAAATCAATAGTAGTAGTCTTATAGTAGGGTCCGAAGGTAAATAAAAGAATACTTAAAAAATTAAATTTTAGTTTTTATTTTCTTAAAAACCAGTAAATAACAAACTTTTTGGATCAGTGGTAAATCTGAGGGATACGTTTAGTGTAATTACATTAATAAATGATTTAAATTTCTACAACATTTACAAAGATATTATTCAGTTCGTGCTTTATTCACATTTTTAATATACACGAATGCATTTTGTCATAAATATGTTACAACATTATAAATCATTAGTTCCGGTTATTAAAAATAATATGTGAACATTTTGATTTGTCACAAATGGAAGCACCGTTATTTATTGGTGTTAACAGTATCACAGGAGAGATTGCAATCTAATAAAATCAGTACGTTCACTAAGGTGAAGGCACTTGGTTCCACATTATCGACTGTATCATTCTATGTTTACTATAGAATAAACGTTGAAAATTAAATTATTTATCCAAATACTCGTTTTTTCATCCAAACTTGTATTAAGGAATGGTACCTAAGTAATAAATACAACTATATAGACATTTTAATCAAACGGAATGGTATAAACTATTGGTTAATAACTTACAAAATTATACTTAACATTTATACACATTGTGAAAAGAAAAAGAAAATCATAAGCACATCATATTATAATAATAATGAAAATATTTTTATAAATAGCACCGGAAAAAAAGACCAAGTGAAAAATAAAATAACAAAGTAGAACAACAAATTATGATTATAAACATTTGAAAAATCAATACAAATATAACATTTTTATGTGGTACACACAAATAATTATAAATATAAACTGACCATTTGTCCATTTTTGCAATTATTGCAATTTTATAGAAGTAATTACATTAATATTATTTACAAAATAATCACAATATTCACAAAACTGTTTATAAACTTAACTGTACAATAAATTATACTGATAGCTACTTAATACCCAAGAAACCCAACTTTAAAATAAATTGACATGAATTTAAAATGACTACCACTCATAGGTATTTTTCATGTTTTATTTCAGAAGGCACTTTTTACAGTGACATGTAGGTTTTTGTTAAAAAAATAAAGTGATGTAAAAAGTAACATTTTGAGCATTTTAATTTTGTTTTTTTCAATTGCATTATACTATGCTATACAATTAACAAATAATATACAAAATATTTTTTCTAGTTTGGTAAAAATGGTTGCACCTTTTTCCCCTAGAATTGCACATTGGAACGGCTTTTGTACATAACTTTATGAGAGAGTCACAAATTCAGAGATCAACATGTACCAGCGCTGCAGCCTTTAAGGTTGTTTCTTTTTTATTGGTTTAAGGTTGTTTCTTTATTTTTGGAAAAGAAATAAACATTGGTTTGTTGCACTTGACATCCCTAGTGGCGTTTCATGTGGAGGGATAGGTGGTCAGATCTGGAAAAAGATCGCTGGCACAGGTGGCACTTGAACGGTTTCTGCCCTGTGTGCTTTCGATAGTGGCGAGTCAGCTCGTCAGACCTTGCAAACTTCCATGTGCACCCCTGCCATGTGCACTCATAAGGCTTTTCCCCTGTAACAATAATAATTCAAATAAATAAAATCCAATCTATACAACAAAGTCATTAATACAAGGTTATTCCTGCACCCTCTGGGAAAAACTGGAGTCAACTTTTGACAAAAGTGTCAGTGCATAAATGTGATAAGTACCAAAACGTCAAGATATAATTAAATAAATTAATAAACCTGTTTACTAGGACAGCTAAATTAAATTTGATGAAATGTGAGCACAACAAAAAAAGTTTATACAAAAATTGAATTTGTAGCAAAGTTTAAACTTTAAAAATGCCATCCTGAAAAGTTAGGTTTTTACTTATCAAGATTTTTCCCAAAGTTTATTCCCTGACATAGCCGCCAATTAGGCTTTTGTTCTATGCAAGCTCAATTTCTGTAAATAATATGTTTTCAAAAATTTATCTGTGCATTTTGCATTTTTTTAAAATATTTTTAAAAGCAATTAGTATTCAATGTCTACAAGTGTGTACACTGGAGTACAATTTGTTTTATCTACATAACTATTTAAATGATAACACGAATCTGCCTTTTTTTATTAATATTTTATTTCATTTTTTTAAGAATTTTTTTCATTCATTCTCCAAGGTTAATGCTTTGTAAATTAATTTTCAGGTAATGTTTTGATGTATGCAATTTTGTGTAATTTGACTGTTTTTGGCTTATTGCTATTTTAAGTGGTGTGTCTTCAAAACGGCAGATTGAATAGGTTCATCACTCAGACTGGATGAGGGAATCTTAGAATTATTTATAAAATTGGAGGTGTCTGTAAGCCAGAGAACACATGTTGAACTGGCATTGGTCACATACTGGGCCTGTCTACATTTGCGGGCTGGTTTTGATGTTAAACGCTTTACGAGGAAGATCTTCCAGCAAGTACCGTTTCAACATGAATTCTCTATAAGTTAATATTTTCATCTATGGAATTTAATGTAACATTTTGTTACTCAGTAGGTCAATTTTCTTTTCTACAAATATTCAAAGTGGATAGTAATTGTATAATACATTTATTTTTTGTACATCATAATACAAATTTTAAATGCAATTCTTGCATTTCAGTATGGAAGAATGATATTTTTATCTGAATATACGACACTACAATCCAAGAATAAAAATAATAAAAATATTGTAAAAAATGTTTATTTTTGATCAAAGATTCTTATAAAAGATAAGTGTTCAAAAAGTAGATTTGACTCCGTTTAATTTATGTATTAAAAAAAGAGAAAAATTAAAAGGCAAAATTCAATTTTCCAAATAACTAAGGACAGTTCCTCCTGTAGATCAATTGTTCACTCATTTGTATTAATATCACAGAGTAGAAAGAACCTTATGTCGTTGAATTTTTTTTTAAAGGTACAATTCAGTAGTATTTGAGTCCTGTTGGGTTCATACCAATGTTGTATCAGAGTGGTAGTTGGCAGTTACGACAATAGGATTTTATTCCTGCTGATTTGTTTATCAGAGAAAACCCAATTGTACTTTTTTTTCTGTGCAGTTGGAATTATCAGTGTTTAACAATATTCTGATGTCTTAAATGCTCATTTTGCAGTAGTTTTTAAAAACCTAGTTAATTTGTAATTCGTTTGTCTATGTTCTGATAATGGGCTATTTGTGCCTTGTTCTGTTTATAAATTTTGACTATCTTTTAATAATAAGTTGACTTGATTTATCATATGATTAATGGTAGAAACTACAGGGATGGTGCCGAGTTTCACCTTAAATCTCACTTCTTTTAGGCAATTTGATCAATTTAAATTATCTTCATCGAATTAAGAAATTCATAAGTTCAGAATATTTATTGACTTTGCTGTTTATACATTTGGGGACTAAAACCAAAAATGGCCCATTGGCTATATGTAGCAGTAATAAGAGCCAAATTAGCCTACTGCTCACTGATCTAGTAGACCAAATCTCAGCAAATACTCTTAGGTACCCAAACAGGCAGCTCACAAAGACTGGCAAACAGTATCTCAGGGGCAATGAAAACAATCATCAATTGCACTAGAGACACTGCTAAACTTACTTCAATTGGAAATATACAAGAAGAAGCGAGGATAAGCTCATTTAGACTTAAGAAACAATCAAATTGGATGGGAACTAACCACTTCCGGCACACAACAATAGCTCCACGCTGATTGGTTTAGGAGTAGGCTGATCATTCCTGAACCTGTGGTGACACCTAGTGGATAACTTGCTAACTGCAGGTGGTCACCACAACAACAATATGACGATATCTTGGGTACCAGGGCACAAAGAATTTTGGGTAAGAAAGATAGACACACTGGCCAGAGGTGGTTCTGCAAGACCATATTTGAAACATATTGCCTGGAACCTATTCTTGTTATAGCAAACACAAACATAGAAGCCTCCATCACGGAATAGCTCCAAAAACCACAAAAGGAGGAGTCGATAAACTTTAGATGTGCTCGCGACAGCTTATGCTAAAACAAACCTCACCAAGACTGGCAAACTCGCTGCTACAGTTAGAGGGCTAAACCTAGAGAAGTGACTATACACCGGTCACTTGAATCCTATAAAACACCTACACAATATGAATATATTCAATGTTTAAATTCAAATTCAATTCACACCATTAATAGGTTATACAACGAGGAGTAAGAAACAGCCGTCCTGTCATCTTCGAATGCGAAGCAACCGCTCAATGGAGACAAATACAACAATGACCTAGCTCCTTAGGAGAAGTATTGAGTATTGGTGAACTAAGTAACTAAGAAAGTACTTCCTAGTATTCATCATCGCCATCATCATCATAATTTTGCCGTTTATACAATCGAAAAATCTTTAATGGAGATAATATATCAAACATTTCATTATGTTAAATTAACGCGCCAAAGAGATCTTTTGATGTAGTGCTGTATAAATTAAATACCCGTACAAGTTAGAGCTATTATGGAGAGCTGGGTTACATGTGTCACACTATAAACAACGTTGAAAATCGCATTTTAAAACGAGTTCACAAGTTATTTCAATTGTGCTTAGAAACACGGCCGGTTTTGCATACTCGCTCCTTACATCAGGACAAGACGGGCAGACACATAAAAACTATTGCGGATCTAAACTGCTCAAAAATGAATAGGGATATTTGTAATTTATTCTTATTCTATTAATTTTAATTAAATTAACCAATATATTCTTGTTAGTTGGACAAAACAAACCAAAAACAAACAAATGGTATTCCCCATTTTTAATAACGGATTTTGTTAAGAGTAGTAAACATGAAGATTGCTCATTTTGTAAACCAACACCATTTCTTGTCTTTTCTCCATTTTAATCAAGTTGTATCCTCTTTAACCATGGAAAGACATCATCTTGAACCTGAAGATCGCACAATTGTTGTGAGAATGAGTCATAGAGGTCACCGGCAAGCGGATATCGCAGAGGCAGTTGGCGTTCCTCAGAGCGTGGTCTCCCGGGCTTTAGCCCGATTCCTCGATACTGGAAGTGCCAATGGGAGGCCTGGTAGTGGATCTCAGCGCATTACGCCCGTTAAGGGAGGACATAAATAGTGACATTTTGCAAGACGGAACTCTTTCCATAGCGCCTTCACATCCTATGCCCCTTCGAGACGACCTGCAGCAACAGCCCGTCACAGTAACTCAAGAGAATATGGTGCAGCGATCGCCCAGAAGCGAACACCAATTCGAATGCTGTTATGTTTACTGATGAACCGCGTTTCTGAGTGTATAGTGAGAGCTGGCGTCGAAGAGTCTACCGAGAACGGGGATGCGTACAACCCCCTCAGTTTTCCCTTCAAGAAATTATCGAGGATTTCCTCAAACCAGTGATCTCCTTGGCAGGGATCTTCGATTTCTGGATGGCAATGACCTCATAAAGGCAGAGTTGTTCATCAATGTTTAGAAAACCTGGGAATTTCACATCTGCCCCTTCTTCCCCCATTGTATCCAGACCTCAATCCCATTGAGCAGATGTGGGATGCGTTGCAGAGAGGCTTTTCTATCACCATCCGCAGCAACTGAGAGCAGCGTTGCACATCTATGGAGTGAAATTCCTTATGAAATTGGTGACAACCTTATTAATGAAGAAATAATAAATAAGTATGCCTAACAGGTGCACAGAGGTTTTAGTTCACAGAGGACATTATACATGGTCCATTAAACAAAATTAAAGAATTAAAACCTTTTATTTGTATTTTTTATTGTATTTTTTCCAATTTCCTTAATAAAATTTTCCTTCAGTAAAAAACAATAATTTCTAATTAATTTGAATGCAATTTATAATAAAAATGCTAGGGAAAGTGTACCAAGAAAAAAAAAAACTACAAAATTGGCAATTCCCTATTCATTTTTGAGCAGTTTATTTCAATGAAATATCGTTTCGGCAAAGAATTGAATATATTTCGTCGAAACCTCCTGCTCCACTCATCGTTGAACCATATCCAATCATTATATACTACACATCATTATATATCCAACAGCGCCTAATGAAAATAGATTGAAAGAATCCCAACCAATTTTTTAAGATATTTTTTTTTAACAAAGAAATTTTGAAGTTCTTGTAAAAGGTGACCAAGTAAAGAAAACTAAAGGAAAGACAAGGCAAGAACGGACGTACAAACTGACACTTCATATGTCTTGGCGCTAAAAACAATGTACCACAAAAAATATAGCGAAGGAACAACAGACGTTTTAATTACATTAGCATATGTAATTGAATTTAAGATAAATTTTATTTCATGCTGAACCTGCACTGGGTCACTTATTGGGTCCGTCTTCACTCCAGGTTTGTTGAACCACTTACAATTAGACGAGTTTCGGCATTGTGCCATCTTCAGTGAGGAACTCTTGTCTTTGTGTCTTTGTGAAGACATACCCAATAGTGACACAGTGCGGGTTCAGCTTGAGTCGACCGACCAATCAGATCTAAATTTTATTTATCTAGAAGTGTAACGTTTTAAATATACTGGAGAGATTCAGTTCACGGTGTGATGGTAGGCACCGGTAGAACCGAAATGAATGGAAA